AAAACATATCAAACATGAGGATACACATTGAACGGCAAATAATTTTTTAAATGCATAAGGTAAATAGAAATTTGGTGTGGCTATATTTTTATCAAAAGTCCTTTTTTGGGGAGCAGAAAGCATAATCAAAGATAAGTATGATCACTTTGTATTAAAGTTTCAGTTCCTAGGAAAATATATGCATTTAAATAAAGCAGCTTCAGGATATATAAAGCAAAAATTGACAAACTACAAGCAGAAATGGACAGATCAGCTATTATAGGGGAGATTTGAACTTCTCTTGGAAATTCATAGATCAAGCGGATAGGAGTCTAGAAAATGTGGACAACACAATTACCCAGCTTGATCTAGTGACACATGGAGAGCGCTGTAGCCAACAACTCAAGATTCCATATTCTTTATACATATTCTTAAGCACCCATGGAACATTTAAAAACTAAGAACAACAGGGGCGCCTGGGTGGCTCAGTTGGTTAAGCGACTGCCTTCGGCTCAGGTCATGATCCTGGAGTCCCTGGATCGAGTCCCGCATCGGGCTCCCTGCTCAGCAGGGAGCCTGCTTCTGCCTCTGACCCTCCCCCTCTCATGTGCTCTCTCTCTCTCTCTCATTCTCTCTGTCTCAAATAAATAAATAAAATCTGTAAAAAAAAAAAAAAAACTAAGAACAACAAAATAAATCCAAACAAAATATATGTAGGGAAAAAATAGAAATAAGCACAGAAATCTGTAAAACAGAAGACAAAGAAACTTCGTGAACACCAACAAAAAACATATGGCCGGGAGTGGCGTGTAGTAGCCACCGATAAACATCTATCTGTTCGATGAATAAAAAGCAATAGAAAACTACATGTGCGTACATGAAAAAGTTTGAAATTCACCAAATAGTGATTAATTCTGAGTTGGGCAGTTTTAGGTTATCCTGCGTTTACTCTTTGTTCTTTTCTGTATTTTCTGAGCTCTCTGTATGTATTGCCCTTATAATTTTATGAAAACACATTATTTAAAAATAAAAACAAATAGATTTTTGAAGAGATGGGCTAGAGAGGATTAAACGTCCTTGCTGCCACCTCTGGTCAGTGGGGTGAGGCGGTGCAGTGTAAGACGAATTTGGAGGTGCTTCACCCCTCACTACATGGGTGACTTTAAACATAATCCCTTTGAACCCATTCTCCAAAATGGCAAAAAGAAAGCCTTCCTCAAAGAATTATTCGGATAGGTGACCCCGTGCAAAGCACTTAGTACAGCGTCTCATACCGTAGCTGTTCGATAGCCCTGTTCCTTTCCCTGCTTGAGGAAGCAGGCTTAGGGAAATATCCCTCTCCATTTCTAAGGAATGTACCCTGAGTGCAAGGCAAATTTGATCAGTCTGGAATATGAAACTGGATGAAAGCTTAGTATGTGAAATTATATTTGTGCCCTCCTGGAGAGCCAGGAAAATTAAGACACGAACCAAGAAATTCATCCCCTTTATTAGATGTAAGAATGAAGGTGCAGTATTATCATTTCCTTGTGATAGTCATATCTAATAGTTCTGAAACCAATTCACAGTTTTCATGTCAGACTTATTTTATGAGACATTTAACCATTGCTAAATTAAATTTCATAGGAGAATGTGCCTATATAACTCCTCTGGAGTTACAGAGATAGAAATCGGACCCATCATTTCTATTTTCACAGAAAACTATTTAGCAGAACTTTGCTCCAGTAGAAGTGTTTATTGAGTTGTAAGCCTAACACAGTTCATTGGCTGCATGTATTTCCACACTGACATTTTTCTCAGTGCAGATTTGCATCAGTTCATTAGTACTGACAGCAGATGGTAGCACTTTCACACAAATTTACCTTCTGAATTGATCTAAGAAATGTCACTAAAAAGATCCTGACAGTTTTGATGTTCTTCCATTTCTGAAAATGGTATGTTAAACAAATAAGGTGTAGGATTTTAGATTTTTTTGAACTCCAGCACATAATTCCTAAACCAAAAATGAAAGACGGCTTTCATCTCTGATTCTGGCTGTCTGAAGCCTGAGCCTTAAAAAATCCAGATAGCATGAGCCTAAAAAAATCTCCATTGTAGAAAAATGGCTTTTGGAGAATATTATCCAGATTGATTGTCTACACTAATCAGATGGCTCAAATTATTTATAAATTCTCTACTTTGCTTTGAATACAAATTGCTTGGCTTGCAGAAGTAGTGGATTGAACGTGACCGAAAACATAGTATTGGCTCAGGTCATAAGGCTAACTTTGAATTCTGTCACTTCCGCAGAATTAAGATATCCCTAAGATTAACCCCATTTTAAAACTACGGATCCTTTTGGCTTTAGTTAGGGTTAAGTCATTATAAAATTATCGGGCAAGAAGACTTAATATTTGCTAAGTGAATGAATGCGGGTGTATGTGAATTCTAATCACATTGGGGAAACTTTTTATTTTTCTACATTAAATAATCATTATTATATTCATAATAACTCTGTATTCAGTAGTCTTACAAATTTAGAAACAAGGATTTTGGGGTATTTTAAAAATTAATTTTCCATCTGTATTTGAAAAGTAATTAATGGTTTGGTTAATTTGCCACAACTAAGAGAAGCTGTTATATTTGAGAAAGCATTGGGTGTTGGCCATATACAGTTTAACCATGGAGGTGATTATGGATGTTTTTGACACATTGCTAGAAGAGTGGTCATGATTAACAACATACTTAAGGGATTTATTTAACAAGAAGAAGGAGCTTTTGGGTTCCAAGTGCTCTCAAAATCAAGGGGCCCTTTTTATTTTATTCATGGCACTTACTATTATTTGGATTATCTTGTTTCTTTATTTGTTCTGTGTATTTATTGGCTGTCTCTTGCACTGGCATGTAAGTTCCATGGGATCAGGGACTTTATCTCTGAGAAACAGTGATCTCTATTACTATACCCAGAACTGTTCCTGGCAGACATGTAAGAGATGATCAATAGATATATGTTGAATTAATAAGCACTGGTTTAAGGCAGGTAAGAGGAGCCAGAATTAAGCTGGACAGGAAGACTTGCCTTAGGCATAACACATTTGGTTTGTGACCCTAGGGTCGGCTTAGGGATAAGCGGGAGGGGGTAGGGAAAGAGGAGGAAAGAGGGAGCCCAGGCTCTGCTGTAAGAGTCAGGCCACCGGGCAGACTCTGAAGGTGGCACTTGGGAGACATACACCAACCCACACCCAGTGAATACCTCAACCCTCATCACATATATGCATCCCCAAATCTCCACACCCAGTGTCTCCAATACACAGTGGAGGTGCCTCCAATTTCCTGTGAGTAGGTTTGTGCACATTCACACAGACGTGAGTGTTTTGGGGTTCGAGGCTAGAGTTAGCAGCAACAACCACACATAATTCTTTCCAGGGATGCTCTGAGTTCAGCTCCTCCTTGGACCGGCTGAGAAGAGGAGAAGAAGCCAAGAGAAGTTAGGCCCCTAGTCCAAATCCAGCCAACAGGCTTGTTTTATTTGGCCCAGTCTATGTGTTTTTTTTTTTTTTTAAGTGCCAAAATTTAAATTTAGGAAGTTTTACATAAAAATCTGGATTCCTAGGCTATTTTGACAAACGGGAAGACCTGGCACACGGAACCTGCATTCCCACATGGCACAATTGGCTGGAGCAGAGTAGCAATCATAGTCTTGGCTGGGAGCACCCTCTGGTCCCCCATAGTCCCTGTCACTGCTGGTGTATTCAACTGACCTTGCTTCTTCAGGTCACCTGCACAATCTCTGTAGGTATTTGTCTTAGATTGCTTGGGAAGCTATAACAAAATACCACGGACTGGGTAGTTTATAGACAACAGAAATGTATTTCTCTCAATTCTGAAGTCTGAGCTCAAGGTGCCAGTCTTTCTCATGAGGGCCCCCTTTCAGGTCACACCCTTCTTGTTGCAACCTCATGTGGCAGAAAGGGGTGAGCTAGCATTTGGAGGTCTCTTTTATAAGGTCCTAAATCTCATTCCTGAGGGCTCTACCCTCCTGACCTAATCACCTCCCAAAGATCCCACCTCCTATAAGACCATCACCTTGAGCATTAGAATTTCAACATACGAATTTGGGGAAATACAAACATTTAGACCATAGCAGTATTTGCAGTTGCAGTCTTTGGCATAATGGCGAATCCACAATGTAAACGATCAATAAATTTATTGTCAATAATTGCTTTTGCGTCAGTACAATTTGTGCGAGGTCACTCCCTACAGGAAACCTCCTAGGACTCCCCATTGTTTGACAAATGATGTGCATCTCCCTACCCTGGCAGTGAGCTGACCTGTATTTCTATGCAGTCATTCTCTTATAAAGGCAGTGGAGTTCCCGCGAATGGGCTTTTGACTTCCAGAAACAGCCCTATAAGCTTGGGAAAGACAGAAGGATAGAAACAGATAAACAGAGGAACTCAGGAAGAAAAGAGACAGACAGACAGACAGAAGTACAACAATTTAAATAATTCAGGCCATTCTCCGCCTCGTCCCCCTGCCATTCTACCCATCGAACGTGTGCCTCTTGGCACTGCAGTCAAGCTCGAAACAATCAACATGGTGGCCAAGTTTCTGCAAAAAAGTGTGCGAAAGATTTTGATCCCCTTGCAAAGAGGTGAATGAAATACGTTGTTCAAATGGTCAGGCTTTTGGGCTTCGCAGACATCCCTGAGGAAAAACTGGGGAATAATTATAAGCCAAAGGGAAACACCAGTTGACAACGAATTCGAGGGAACTGATAAAATTGATCTATAGTTTGTATCGTGTAAACAAAACCGTGTGCCCTCCTCTCCTTGATTGTACTACTTTATCAGTTCGTAACTCCTTCTCTCCAGCTTTTTCTCATGTTTGGATTATGAATTATATTTCAAAACTGAAAGTGATCTGTATCTTAATTTAGTAACTTGGAATTTAAAACAAACTTTTAACAAACCAGATTGTGTGTTTTAACTTTTTCAAAGTAATTCACACTGGCAATCCCGGACCAACTCTGATTTTTACAGGAGCATCCAATACTTGGGCAACCCTTTTTTGTACTTCATCCCTGCAAGACGAATGAATTCATGACTCCTGTATTAAAGAATTCTCAAAAAATCAATAGGTAAGAAACATCATCAAGATACATTGGCTTTTACTCTTATTTTAAAAATGTAAATGTTTTTATGTGACTCTAAGAGCTAAGCTAAAAAGGAAATATTGTTTGTAATAATAGTAATGGCTAACAGTTATTGATTTTTACTGTGCTAGGCACAGTTCTAAGTATTTTAGATATATTAATATATTGGATTTTTATAACACCCCATGAGCTAAGTTCCATTATTTTACCCAGTTTACAGAGGAGAAAGCTAAAGCACAGAGAGGTTAAATAACTTGGCCAAGTTCACACAACTTGTTCAGTGGTAGACCTGGGATTTGAACCTGGGCATTTTCGCCTAAGAGCCATGCTCTTAACCACTACACTCTGCTAATGCCGTAAATTTTAAGTGTCAAACTGGAATCATCAAGAGGAGTCAGGAGCCTTAATGCCTTGACTCCCCCATTAACTACCTCAGTCTCTTTGGACCTCAAGTCCTTGTCAGGCAATGGAGCTGACATTTGGAAATGCTGGGATTCCATGTGGTGGGCACACACCTTTGAAGGCAGCTCGTCTCTTCTGTTGGTAGTGATTTTCTACCACTCATCCAACATTAGAATTGCCTGTATTTTCACTTGTTTCCTAGGAGTGTCAATTATATCACATCATGGCTGAGCGTTGTAGGGCCAGTTGTTGGGCTAAATCTACCTCTGAGTTATGCCAGAACAGCCTCTCAGGATGAATGAAATGTCACTTGACAAGGTAAAAAGGAAAGCCTGCACTGAATGTTTTGCTATTATAAAGATCCTGTTGTCTCTGTTGCACTTGGGGTCCCTACTGGCCCCATCAAATATTAAGTCTTCTTTCATCTTTAATAGACTGAATATGAACTGTTTGTTTAGGTTTCCAACCAACCAGTGCCCAAACATTTGGGTAGCATTGGACTTTGCTGTAATAACACTCACCCAACTACAGGAGTAGATGACTTTATTTCAGAATTGTTATTCTTGAAATAAGTCTTTACTGTTCAGTTAACCTTCTTTTATTCTCTTAGCTTTTGTTTTGTTCTTGTTCTTCACTTTCTTCTATTAAGCCAAAGACCTAGAAATTGTGGCATGAAGAACACCAAAAGTGTACCTGGCCAGTCCTGGTTTTAATAGGACAAATACCGTGCAATAGTTCAACTCACCAAGATTTTGACATGGATTTATTTTTCCATTGGAAGCAAATGTCTACAGTAACTGCTATGCTGTATTCCTCATCTGGAAGAATTGTTGGTTTGGAGTTGCTTGCTTTGTTTTTCATTTTATCTTGCCAGGGGCTGAAACTAAGATAAAAATGTAATTGTCTCTTTAAAGAATCTAGATTAGTGTCTATCGATGAGTAATGTACTTTAGGGTCACCTGAGGATCTTTTATGACTGCAAGTGCTGGGGTCCACCTCCTGCAACAGCCTCTCTGGGATAGTTCTGACACACCTGCTTCTGGAGAACCTCTGGTCTGGATGTACCTTTAGTGTGGTATTTATTTGTTTTGTTTTGGTCTCCCAATAGGCCTTTTCCAATTCTGTGTATTGCTCCAACAAGCTGGACTTACTTTCTAACATTTGTCTGGGCATTGCCCTGAACCTCCTGGTTGTTAAGAATATCCAGGAGACATGTGTTCACGAGGCAGGCCACTCGGAGGAAGCGGTCAGGGAGAAGGGATTATCGGCTGGCCAATTACAGAAGACTGTGCCTGCACTTTCAGTCTGTAGGTTCGGGGCTGAGCTCTCACACACGGAGCAGAAGTAGAGAATGGGTTAATTCAAACTGCTAGAAAAGCTAAAAGTAAATTTTAAAATGCTGAGCTGCACATATTCATGCTGGGATGAGAGCCTGCTTACATGCTTGCTGGGCATTTTGGTATTTACCACTTAACATCTTTTCAACTTCTGCAGGGATTTCCCCCCGCCCCTCCCAATGTAAACACAGATTTCTCAGCAAGTCATTTCTCAGACCATGTCATTTCTAGAGTAAAAAAAAACTAAATAAATTATAATAATGTATCATCTGGATGATGTACTTGTCTGGAAATAATAGTTATCCTTTGCTAACAGATTCTGAGATGATAGTAGTCAATCACTGTAGAGACAGTGTGTAGGTTTTTTTGTTGGTGTTGGTGTTGTTTTTAAATTAATTTTTTCTTTCTCTGATTGATGAAGACCTTAAAATTCATCAGTAGCAAGAAAAAGTCCTGAAAAACTCTTATAGGTTCTAGAGACCTCCCTCCCCAGATAGATCCCTCTCCTCAGGCCGCTCTGTTTCTTTTCAGAATATTTTGCATTTAAAAAAATCACACATTTAATTTTTGGTTGATAAAAATTTCCATTTTTAAGAATGCAGCTATATAACAGACTGTTATCCCAACAGTTATAAAACATTAGAAAATATTTTGTTTTCTCAAAGTAACAGTTCTTACTCTGCAATACAAAGATTTCCCCTCCGGGTTTCTTCTCCAGTTAATATAATGCAGAACCCCTTCAATCAGAAATAAGGCTGGTTAAAGCTGCTTCCAGCCAATATCCTAAACTCTGCTTTTGTGTAGCCTTGGAAAACTTACTTCACCTCTTTGGTCCTTGGCTGTGTGATTTGTGAGAACAATTGCAATTCTCGGGTCTGTGAAAGCGAAGCATAGAGATCTAGACTGTGAGTTTGGTTACCTGCTAGCTGTGTGACTTGGGCTAATTTTCCTAATCTTCTTTAGTCTTTTACCATTTCTATGTTTAAAGAGTCCCTTAATATCCACCCCCCTTACCTAACCAGATCAGGGAGGAGATCAAAATGGTAAGTCAACCTGAATGTGCTTCATAACCTGCACAATGCCATATGGAGAAAGAGGCGTGAGGGATAATTGGCCCCAGCTCCTGCCCAGCGCCAGCACACCGTCTCCCTCCCACCACATTTCAGGCCTGATTCCTCCCAACACGCATGGGCCCCACATCCTTCTCTGACTGTTGTTCATGCTGGCCCCCACCTGGAAATGCTTCCTTCTCCATCTCTCAACTCAATTCCCAACCTACTCTATAAAATTCACTCTTACAAAGCCATCTCTGACCACCACAGCCACCACTGGTCAGCCTGTCCTTTCATTACGTACTATACTTAATCATATTAGCATTTCATTGTCTCCCTTTCACTCTGATTTCTTCCTCTCCTTGATGATGGATAATAAGTACTGACCCACTTTTTTTTTTTTTTGGTATGTTGTAAGGTGGCATGCACAGAATAGTTGCTGTCTGTCCCTTGGAAGTGATGGAGGGAAGTAAGGCTCTCAGTCCAGGGATTCGAGTCTGTGGGCGAGAGGCTGTGTTGACCATTTGGTACTAGCTTACAGACCAGGAGCTAAAAAACAAAACTAACCATTCTCCTAACACAGATGTATTAGAACAAAGAGGAAAAAAGGATGTTAAAACTGGGTTTTTGCATCCATTTTTCCTGATAATAGGTATAGTTCTTCATGCTCTCAAGATATGAGGAAATGGAGGTCTGCATTGTCACAACCAGCTCTTACATAATTCAGAGAGCTGATATTCCAGTCAGTTGGGTTTTTAATTTTTTTTATGATTAAAATATGAGAGGAAGAATATGCAAATATTCACTCCACCAGATACCTATTGAGTTCCTCTTATATGCTGAGCCCGAGGCTAGCTGCCAGGGATGGTAAGTGGAAAGACATGACCCTGACTCATAAGAATGCCCAGTCCAGTGGAAAGACAGACAAGGAGATTCAGGGACAGAAGGATGTATGCTGTGGCAAAGGTGTGCAAAGGAAGCACCCGGGAAGATTTGTAGAAGAGGAATGTGAGTGGAGCTGTGAAAACCTTAGGAGTTAGCCAGGTTAAGAATGCAGGAAAGACCTTGAAAATGCATAGGGAAGTGGTCAAGAGTGAGGCTGGCTAGCAGGACTGGGGCCAGGTCTGGAGATCGATTGCCACACTGAGAATTTGTATTTGGTCTAAAAACCAGAAAGAGCCACGGAGGGAATTCAGGTAGAGGAGGTGAAGTGATCACATTTGCATTTTAGAAAGATCCTATATTTTTAAAATGACTATTGCATATAACTACTCACACATACACTGTCAATTTTTTCACCAGCAGGTTCTGGCCCACAGGCTTTAGAAGTTAGGAGTGCAGAAAGGGCTGGGAGTATGCCAAGGACATTTTTCAATTTTTGCCCAGGGCCTTCCAAAACAAAACTTTCCAGTGTCCTGAAAAGCCTGCGTCCTGGCTGTGTTACCTGGGGCAAGTCACTCCACCTCTCTGAGCCGCTCTTTCCTAATGTATTAAATAGAAGGAAGTGTATTAAATCAAGTAAAATCCAGTTTTTAGTTTATGACCTCTCTCTATATATATATGTTTAAGAAATAGAATATGTCTGGGAAACGCTCCCTGTGTGTCTTCTTTACTCTCACACTACACACACAACACTTCTGACTCTAGATGTGTGGGTTTTTCCCATAACAAACAATTCTGCAGTACCAGCTGGGGTCCAACAATTTAGTTCTAACACTATCAATCTGGAGTTAGGATCAAAGCCTGTAAGTTAAGACCTAAGTCCCACAAGACTGCCCCACTTTAAGACCCCAGTCACAAGTCCCAGGTTATCACCTGTGTTTCTAACTGACCAACTATGAACCAGGATTACCATGACCCCCTCCTTGCATTGATTAATTTGCTAGAATGGCTCATAGCATTTAGGGAAACACTTATGTTTACCGGTTTATTATATAACAAGGGATATGATAAAGAATACAGATGAATACCCAGATGAAGAGCTACATAGGGCAAGAGCCAGAGGGTCCCAAGAACAGGAGCTTCTGTCCCCATGGAGTTGGGATGTACCACCCTCCTGGCATATAGATGTGTTCACCAGCCCAGAAGCTCTCTGAACCTCGGACTTTGGGGATTTTATGGAAGTGTAATCACATAGGCATGAATGGTCATTAACTCTACTTCTAGCCCCTCCTCCCCCTTCCTGGAGGATGGGGGACAGGGCTGAAAGTCCCAAGCTTCTAATCAGAGCTAGGTCTTTCTGGTGACTAGCCCCTATTCTGAAGCTATTCAAGAGCCCACCAAGAGTCACCTGCTTAGAACAAAAGACACTCCCATCACCAGGAAATTTCAAGGGATTTAGGAGCTCTGTGTCAGGAACCAGAATCAAAGGCCAGGTATTAGAAGAGATGCTCCTCATGCTCTTATCACTTAGGAAATTAGAAAGTTTTTAGGAGCTCTGTACCAGGAATGCAGAGAGCAGAGACCAACATGTGTATGTTCTATTATTTTACAAATACATGGGGGAAAAGCACATAATAAGGATATTATTGTTTTCTGACACTTTGGTTTCAGATATATATATATATATATATATAATCTGTTTATATGGGTGTGTACGTATTTGCACATGTGCATACTAGGTGGTGATGTAAATATATTTCTAACTCCAGGGAACAGGGATTTGAAAACTGATGGACAAATAAGCTCCCTTCCAATTCTGAGACCCTTTGAATCTCCCCCCTCCCCCCTTATACTGCTGGCCAGTAAGTTGCTGAGGGTTGTTCTAGAAGGATATAGGCAGCACTTAACTACTATTGTGCCCATGGCACTGAGATACTTAAATATACACGTAGGTCCTTTTATAGGGCTTGTCTGTAAAAGTGCCTTCACATTTTTATCCTTAAATGCTGTGGTGTTCTTTCAAGCAGTACTGTAACGTAAAGTCCTTGCTTTTAACTTTTGTATTGTCAGTAGCAACACCTAGTGGTAAAAGAGCCCAATTGCAAGTATCCTGTTTTCTAGACTATTAAAACTGAAAGTGATTTTAGAGATCACCAAGTCCCATTTGTAAATTATTAAAAACAAACTGGAAACTCACATTTTTTTCTTTACACTGAAATATACTTTACATGAGAATAAATAAAGCCTCTGGTTGCATTATGATTTCTTGGATTTCTTTGAAGCTTTTCAAATACCCAGAAATCACGGTTACAACTGAGGCAAAAAATTAAGCATACCCTGATACGTTAAACTGGAAATCATAGTTCAGGATATGTACAGCCTTTGGTGCATTGTTATTTACACCTGCATGCCAGATCTTCAGGGTTTAGCATGATGCCTGGCATGTGGTGATACTCAGTAAATCTTTGTGGAATGTTTGTATATGTGGCTGAAGACTGAGCACAGGGAAAGATCTCATGATCTTTCTGCAGGCACCAGGCACTGGACCTGCTTTCCTCTTTGAGAACTGTGACCCACTCTTTCTTTGAGAAGACTTCTGTTCCCTGACAGAGCGGTGGAGTGGGAGGTGGTCTCCTCTACCCCCTTCTTCAATAGATTCAGAGAGAATAGCCAGGCCCTTACTTGCTTATTAATAGGGAAATGGCTAAATCAAACGTAACGCTGTATGGCAGTTAAGGGGAATGAATTCAGTCTCCAAATAGGAAGTTCTCATAAATAGATTGTTGAGTTAAAACAGAAACTAGATGATAAATATGCATGCAACTTAACACTATTTATATAAAAAATACACCAGTATCACACATTTTCTATAGTACATATACAGTATATGTATGTGAAAACATTAAAAATGATCTAGAAGGACACACCAAATTTGTAAGAGAGGTTATCTCAGAGAGTGGAGAGTGGGAACTTGGATTGGAAGAAATCAAAGATGTTGGCTCTTTTTGTAATGCTACATTTATCTAGCTGAAGACTGTGAAACTAAAATTCATTTTTAGAAAAGATTTTAGTCCTCATAGATAACTTGGAAGCCACAGAAACATTTGAAGGAGAAAATTTTAAATGTGCTTAAGCGTAAATCACCCATGGATAACTGCAGTTAAATTTTTGATGTATTTCTTCATACTAGTTTAAACATATTTAATTACGATCATTCCATATATGGTTTTACATTATGATTTTTCCCACTTTAACATTGTATTGGCAGCATTTTCCCTTGTCATGTGGTTCTTTGAAAAAACAACTTAAAATGACTAGTAATCTTCTATATCAAAATGTCCCAATTAATTCTCCTGTTGTTAGACTTTTAGGTGGTTTCTAATTCTTCACTCTTTAATTAGTATACATTCACTGAGCACTCAACCTCTTATGTGGTCAGGACCTGTGCTAGGGAGATAGTGGTCCGTAAGGTAGATATAGCCCCTCTCTGAGAGAGCTTTCAGAATGTAATGCAGTGAGAAATGTGTGCAGAAACAGTTGCTCACATTTGGTTTCTTTAGGTTATACTGTTACTAAGGGAATGAACAGATCAAAGGATACAGAGTGTCTTAAGACCTCTTACTCATGTTGCTAAATTGTTCACCAGTAAGGCTATAGGGATTTATATTCACAGCAGTAGTCTGTATTTTACCATTTCCTAAAATCTTTGAAAATAATTTTATTTTCCTTTGCTTTTATTACGGAATTGATCATTTTTCTCTTCATGTCTTGGTAAAATTTGCATGGATTCTCACCTTTGTTTCTTCCCAATATCTATGCATTTCTCAGTGCTGCTGGAGTTAGTTTTCCAGCTTCTTTATTGTCCATTTTATTGCCCCAAATCTCTGTTTTTTCCGTATCAGAGCAGACCATCCATATATTGTTCTATTAGAACCAGAAAGCATAGAATTAAACAAATAACAATTATAATTAACAATCTAATTTAAAAAACAGTATTATGGAAACTCTTATACCTACTCAAAAGTAAGCAATATAATGAACCCTCACATACTTACACATCAGAATCTGTAATTACCAAGATTTTTGCCATATTTGCTTCACTTAACCTTAACTTATATTTGCATAAATATTTTAAAGAAAATTGCAGACATTATGCCATTTGTTTTTACAGGTACATACTAAATATTTTTCATTTGATCTATTCTGACAAGTTTTACTTCAGTCTTAGATGTTAAAGCATCTTTGGGTTCTTGTCCTCTGCTGCTTCTCCTGAGGTGGAGCTTTACACCCTCTTTCGGATTATGCCTTTGCCAGTGACACTGAGGAATTTTCCTCTAAAATGGCCCACTCTTGAACCCTCTTACACTGTTGGTGGGAACGCAAGCTGGTGCAGCCACTCTGGAAAACAGTATGGAAGTTCCTCAAGAAGATAAAAATAGAGCTACCCTACAACCCAGCAATTGCACTACTGGGTATTTACCCCAAAGATACAAATGTAGTGATCTGAAGGGGCACATGCACCCCAATGTTTATAGCAGCAATGTCCACAATAGCCAAATTGTGGAAACAGCCGAGATGTCCATTGACAGAGGAATGGATAAAGAAGATGTGGTTCATATATACAATGGAATATTACTCAGCCATCAGAAAAGATGAATACCTACCATTTACATCAACATGGATGGAATCGGAGAGTATTATGCTGAGCGAAAGAAGTCAATCACACGCACACAAATATGCAGGCACACATGCATGCATATTATGTCACAGGCAAGAAAAAGAAGAGTATAGTGGCAGAAAAAAAAAACCTACCTAATTATAACACTAAAAAATGTATAAAATACTGAAAGGACAAAATCAATTATTGCATATAGAATTAAAAGGGTTGGAAAATAAAACTGGGAATCTAAAGAGGGGGAAAGTTGTCCTACTTACCTGCAAATGTACACAAAACAGCACCTGAAGCTGTCAAACTATATAGAAAAAAGTATAAAGACTTACAGTAAACATGGATAAATTCACAAAGCTGATGGGGCAAAATGATATGACAAGACAATCTATTTCATATCACTGTTTCCAAAGCAGGTGTTAATGGACAAAACATGTTTCAACATGTTTCTCTCAACTTTTCTCAGCTGTGATTGAAATGAAATATTATTTAAAATGTGTTTTCCTGGGGCGCCTGGGTGGCTCAGTCGTTAAGTGTCTGCCTTCGGCTCAGGTCATGATCCCGGGGTCCTGGGATTGAGCCCCGCATTGGGCTCCCTGCTCAGCGGGAAGCCTGCTTCTCCCTCTCCCACTCCCCCTGCTTGTGTTTCCTCTCTCATTGTGTCTCTCTCTGTCAAATAAATAAATAAAATCTTAAAAAAAATAAAATGTAGTTTCCTTTGCCCACTATTGTAGATTTAAACATTGGCTGATTGGTAAAAGAGGTAAGGAAGCATAATGTTTTCGTTAGCATCTAAACTTATTTGAAAATTTGGGTATGTTCAATCTTTTTTTTAAAGGAAATCTTTTTTTTTTTTTTTTTTTTTTAGATTTTGTCTATTTGACACAGAGGGAGAGATAGCACAAGCAGGGGGAGCAGCAGGCAGAGGGAGAGGGAGAAGCAGGCTCTCCACTGAGCAAGGAGCCCAACATGGGGCTCGATCCCAGGACCCTGGGATCATGACCTGAGCCGAAGGCAGCCGCTTAACCGACTGAGCCACCCAGGCGCCCCGGGTATATTCAATGTGTTCTGCACTTTATCCCAGCCAAGTAACTTGACCTCTTGTTGTTTCTAATGAACCACAGCAAATGAGATTTTAGAAAGCTAGACTTAAAAAAAAAGAAACAAAAACTACTCATTGTGAGTAGGTTAAAGAACATTCATGTCAATAACTTATTACCACAAATAATCAAGCAGATCACTGGTAAGGACCTGTGGAAGGTACTTCTCTGGAAGCTGTGAAGGGGTGATCTGGGGCCATGATTTCCTCCTCTCCCTCCTGAGAGAGCAGCTCTCCTTGGCACTCGAATTGCTGTTTGAAAGCTTTAGGTTGTCTGGGAAGCAGAATGTGTTACAGGAAGGGATCTTGATGGTGCTCATTATGTCTGACTAAAGGTCCAAGGTTTTCTGTGTGTGAGGGGCCCCCTGATTTTTGAAGATACACACCACATATTAAAGGCTTGAGTGACAACCTGAATGAGGCGGTGACTGTGCTTATGCAGATTTGGAAATGTTATCTGTGGCTCATGAGTCCCTTCAAATGTGTCACTCTAAAAATGACTTTCTTGGGGCACCTGGGTGGCTCAGTCGTTAAGCATCTGCCTTCAGCTCAGGTCATGATCTCAGGGTCCTGGGATCAAGCACATCAGGCTCCCTGCTTGCGAGTCTGCTTCTCCCTCTGCCTGCCGCTCCCCCTGCTATGCTCTCTCTCTCTTTCAAATAAATAAATAAAATCTTTAAAAAAAAAAATAAAAATGACTTTCTCCTATGAGACAATTTATGCCCCCAAACATACAATTTTAATGTTTTAATGCTTTGGTCTAGAACCCCTGTGGTCATGTTTTCATGATAATAAAGTTTAAAATCCACTTTTCTTCCTCACATACTAACAAACATAGTAACATCACTTTACCAAATAATGTGGACAGGAATTGTGCTAGAAACTAAGAATGCTCAGTACAACCTGCCAAGACAATCCCCCAACTATAATGTCATAAGAACTGTGAGCTAATACTTGAATGAGCCATTTAAACAGATTTTATAGGCTAAAATAAAGATTTTACAAGCCACTGTTAGTGAAAAATTTATAGTAATATGGTAATTTATGATCTTGGCCTCTTTTCTTGACTGTGCAAAAGCCAAGAGAAACGTTAGCTGCTTGGACAACCTTGAAACAGACTCCAGGAGTGTTATCCACAGCATGACCATTATGACCAAATCCTGCCACCAGACAAAGGAAATTCATGTATTTTGTAACAGGACCATTTGTTCCCTTACTTTTGAGATTAGAAAGTTCTTTATGTACTTTTGATACAAGTCTGTTGTTGATATATGATTTGCAAATATTTTTGTCTGGTCTGTGGTTTGTATTTTCATCCTCTTAAGATCTTTCAGAGTAAAATTTTTAAAAAGTCCAATATATACTTTTTTGTGTGTGTGTGTGTGGAATGTACTTTTGGTGTATTGTTTAAAAGCTCTTCACCTAACTGTTAAGTCATGACTCAGTTTTCTTCTACAAGTTTTATAGCTTTACATTTTATTCAGATACTGTGATCCATTTTGAATTAATTTTTTGTATAAGGTGTGAGATTTAGGTTGAGGTCCATCCTTTTTTGCAAATGAAAGTTGATACTATTTATTGTAAAAACTATGCTTCCTCCATTGAATTGCTTTTGTATCTGTCAAAAATCAGTTGGTCTTACCTGTATTGTCTATTTATGGATTCTATTTTATTGATCTGTGTCTGTCCCTCCTTCAATACCACACCTTCTCGTGTGTAGCTACAAATTAAGTCTTAAAACCAAGTTTTGTGATTCCTCCACCCTTTATTCTTCATATTCAGTATTGTTTTAGCTATTCTAGTTCCTTTGCCTTTTCATATTTTAGAATTAGCTTTTCTTTTTTTTTTTTTTTTTAAGACTTTATCTGAAAGAGAGTGCCAGAGAGCACACAAGCAGGGGAGTTATCAGAGGGAGAGGGAGAAGCAGGCTCCCCGCTGTGCAAGGAGCCCAATGTGGGACTCCATGCTAGGACCCTGGTATCATGACCTGAGCTGAAGGCAGATGCTTAACCAACTGAGCCACCCAGGCGCCCCTAGCTTTTCTATTTCAATAGGAAAAAAACCATCTGCTGGGATTTTGCTTATATTTTGCAGCCAGGTGTCTCATTTCTCTGACCCTACAGCCTCCATGTGCAGTTGGGCACAGTGCAGGGCTGGGCACACACTTCATGCTGGAATCCGGATCCAAGAAGGGACAGCTTCTGTCACAAGGTGGTGGGGGATGGGGGCAGAATGAGCTATAAGGAGGCAGATTCGTTTCAAAAACTTCGGGGTTTGGGGCATCTGAGGTGGATTTGTGTCAATCTGTCAGTCACTTAGCTATAGGACAGGCATCCAGGGTACACCCAGCAGACAAGTGTGAGCCACTGTCACAGGTCTTAACTCCCAAGTGTGTTGTTCTCTACAGGTTTGGCTGAGGTCTCAATAGGGAAGAAACAGGATACTGTAGAGGAGTGGGTGGGTGTTGGTGCCACCCCATCCTTTAGCTCTGCCTTCTACCCCCTGCATGGCCAGGCAGCACCTCCTAGCTCCCTGCACTGCAGCTGACTCACTGCTGACCCCTGGGGATGGAATCCTGTGGCCCTTGGTGGCCTCTTGTGGTTCAGGCCCTGGGGGGAGGAGGGGGTAGTGTGAGACCCAGAGATCTACTGGGTTGGGTTAGCTATGGCCATCCGAAAGCATCTGGTCAGCCTTTGAGAATGACTTAACCAATACCTGTTCAACTACATACACTACTAAGCCCTGGAATAGAAACCAAGGAACAGCCCATCTTATCACCAGCATAAATTATCAAATTAACATGTACCATTTTGGCTCCGTTGATTAAGCAACTGCCTTTGGCTCAGGTCATGATCCCGGGGTCCTGGGATGGAGCCCCGCATTGGGCTCCCCCTGCTCGCTCTGTGGGGAGCCTGCTTCTCCCTCTCCCTGCCACTCCCCCTGCCTGTGCTCTCAAATAAAATCTTAAAAAAAAAAGTTCTATGTCAAACTTTGTATTTCAATTAAAAAAAAAGCCACTCTCCATCCTTGTGGAAAGACAAATCACAACAATCATTCGTGGCAAGAATAAGCACAAGTGTGACATGTTTGGGGATCAGCGAGGTCTGAGATGGAAGCAGCAGGCGGCATGAGATACCTCCTGAAACTGCACCGGGAATGCAAGTTTGAGCACGGGAGAGATCAGTATTGCTGGAGCAGGTAAGGACCAGACAAGACACAGATCTTACGTCCTGTGTACAGGATCATGGTCTTGACCTTATGGGAAATGGAAAGCCAAAGAATTTCCATTTTCCAAGATCCTAAACATAACCTAATACTAGGCTTTGATCAAAGAGCAAGTAACTCACATTTATTAATGCAGCCTACAGCAGTTCCTCTGGTAAGTTTCAAGAAAGCTACTAAGTTTCATTTTAGACCCCAGATTTTACCATTTTTCTCCTAAGGAAATTTTGCAGCAATTTACCTACAGAGAACAAACTGATGGCTACCAGAGGGGAGGTAGACGGGGGAAGGGTAAAGTGATGGAGATTAAGGAGTGTACTTGTCATGATGAGCACCAAGTGATGTATGGAATGGTTTAACCACTATATTGTACACCCATCTCCCAGCAATTATCAAGCTACAACCCTTCTCCACTGTTTCTAACTAATCACTTATACTTTGTGCCTTGAAATAAACCTCAAGTTCAAAATCTATTCACACTTACTGACAGTCAGTACAAAGAGCATTTAGGCAATCTTTTATAGCTGAACACCCTTGCTCTTAAACAAGTTTCCTGAGTCTTAATTTTCCAGGTGTACACTTCCATTAATGCCTATCTACTCAATCACCCAGTGCCTTACCTGCTGTCATAAACACAGAATTACAACATGAATCATGAACCTTTACTCACATCCCAGAGCAGGGAGCAACTGGAAGGTGGGTCCCCAGGGAGATGGATCCCAGAACGTACATTACCATGGTTTCCCAACATGATTCCTGCTTTAAGTGTAGTGAGTTTTTAAAGCCCTCTATACAGGGATACCATGCATTTATTCCAGATTATCTATTTTGTTTATTCCATGAAAAGGAGAATAACTATGAATCCCGTTTACTCTAGAGAATTCTGAATTCACAGTATTTCCACTCTCCTAAAATGGTAAGGCATACACTGCATCTCTGCAGTAAGGAAAATAAGACACAAAACATATTTTTGGCTTATGAAAATTTATTGTCATGTTTTCACCATCAAAACTTATGATCTTGGTCTTTCCTTCTTGCCTTTGTATAAGGCCAAAAGAGAGACATTGGCTACTTTGACAACCTTAAAGCGAACTCCAGGAATGTCACCGACAGCGTGACCTTTGCGACCAAATCCAGCAACCAGAACCTCATCATTTTCCTGGAATAAAATCAACAGTTTACTTCTGGTGTCATTGGTAATCACTAAAAATACCCATTCATGGTATAAAAAACTAGGAACCACCATCTCAAGAACAGAAACAAGACACACTTACCTCAATAAAATTCAAACAACCATCATTGGGTACAAAGGCTGTGATTTTTTTGCCATTCTTGATCAGCTGGACCCTGACACACTTCCTGATGGCAGAATTTGGCTGCTTGGCTTCAACTCCTCTAAAACATAAATGTCACAACACAGTGAGCTGCCTTTCTGAGCAGGGATACCTTTGAGTTTGTTAGGCATACAATTTATTAGAAATTATACTGTTTCAACCTTTTTAATCTAGTCCTAAACTGGCAAACTCATGCTACCAACTTTCAAACACTGCTACAGAAAGACCTAGAATTTACCTCACCGCTTCTTTAAATGTACTTGAGGTACCATAGTAAAATAAACCTTGAAGGAGAAAACAGTGGTCTTTCACTTACACTTTTTCCAGCACAATTCCTTTTGCATGGGAAGCGCCTCCAAAAGGGTTGGCCTTCAGGGCTGTGCCCAAATGGGCTTTCTTGTACTGTTTATCATGCCACTTCTGATCTCGTCGGTGGCTGCGGAGCTTCCTGGCAGTACGGAGACCGCGACACTTGCCTAAAAATAAAATCTCATTAGTTCCCCCGTAAACACCGCAGTCATATTCCACATCTTCTAAGACCCTAGCCTCACCTGGACTACAAACCGATAGGCTTTCATCACACCTTAGCACATGGTCCAAACCTCCAAGTTTCCCTCGAACCAACAATGACGGGGACACAAGCGCTCCATTCGGTGCATGCTCCCAAGGGAATGCGCCCCCTCATCAACGCTCCGGGGCAGCACCGGCCACCCGACGTCCCCGATAAGGCGAGCTCCGCGGCCTCTGCGCCACATGGGCCCCTTCCGCACCAGGCCACGTGCCTGCTACAGGGGCGCTTCCTCGGCCTTCCCCATCGGGACTCCCGGTGGCGTCCTCCTCACCGCTCTGTTCCTATCCGCCCGTCCGTCCCTGAGCCCCCGAATTCGGCTTGCGGTCCCCTCAGCCCGACCCCGAACAGCTCACCCATCCTGCCGGCGCCACGGGCCTGAGCAAAAGAGAGAAGCAGAGCAGGAAGGAGCCACAAGCCCCTGCGAACAAGCTCCGCCCAGCCAAGGACCCATGCAGCTGTCTGCGCAGCGCCTGGCCCGAAGCTGGCGCCCCTTGTTTGAAAACGACAAGCTTGCAACACTTTCCAGAATCTGCGTCTTATTTAGTTTGTGTGAAATCCAGTGGTACCGAACTTGCATTGTTGTTTATTTCCTTTTATGTCAATGCTAGAGACAGAAGGAAAGTGGACTACCAATCCCAGAACTCTTTGCATGAGACTCGATCGAGGCGCAGGCGCTGTTGGCAAACCCACCGGGGCGGGGCTTAGTCGGAGCGAAGAGAGGTGACTTGTTCGGGGGGGGCGGGGAGAGGAGGGTAGAGAGTGGTGCACTTTAAAAAAAATTACCGAAGGGATATGTTGTAGTAATTGGAGATATACCAAGCTTTTAAAACCGAAGCCGCCATTTATGGGTGGTTGTGCGACCTTGGGCGATTCATTTAACTTTTTAAACTGAGGTTTCTCCTGTAGAATGAAATAGATTTGAGAAATTTCTGGCATGTTGGGTCATTATACGACTATTTTTTAAAGTGTTTTCTTCGTGCCCGGCATTGTTCTAGGCTCTGAGGATACAGTAATTAAGAAGAGTAAAGAGGTCTGTTTTTATATTCTAGGTGCGAGAAGGCAGGGAAAAAAATGTAAGTGTATTTAAAAATAAACAGGAAAGTTTTAAATACTGATAAGGGTTATAGAGAATATAAAATTGGTTAGGTGGCAGTGACTTGGGGATGGGGATGGCTACTCTGGAATAGGGTGGTTTTAGAAGCCATCTCTGTGGAGATTATATTCGAGCTGAGATCCTAAAGAGAGGGAGCCATTTCGACAAGTATATGGGGTAGAGCTTTCAGAAGAAGGAGTCTCAGTAAGTAGAATGGGCTGGCACTTCTCCAGAACTGAAGGATCAGGGAAGGGGGGAGCTCAGTGAGTGAATAGGTGTGGCACTAGATGAGGTCTGTTTCTGCACGGGGAACATGGAGCCTGTAGATCACAGTAAAGGCTTTACTTTTTATATGGTTGAGTGCCATTGGAAAGTTTTGAGCAGGGAAGTAACAAGATAGGATTTTTATTTTTATAGGATCACTCTGGCTGTTGTGAGGAGAATAAGAGATGAATCTGTGCGGCCAGTTGAGGGTGTTAACAATACTCCAGTTGAGATATATAATGATGGCTTTGACTATCAGGTGGAAAAAAAGTGGTTGGATAAGATAAATGGTTGAGCCAGTAGGATTTGCTGAGGACTGTAGGATGTGAGATTGGAGTTACGGTTTTCAACCTGAGCAACTGGGTGACTTGTGGTGTTATTTATTGAGTGTGATATACTGGGAGAGGACCAGATTTAGAAGGGGAAATTAAGAGTTCTGTTATGGATGTGTATGTAAGTTTGGGTTACATCCAGGTAGGGATGGGAAGTAGGTAGTTGGGTATAGGCATATGGAGCTCAGGGGAGTCATCAGTGAATAGACAGTATGGAAAGCCATGACCCTAAGTAAGATCACTTAGGGGATGACTGTAGGTAGAAGAGAGAAAGGCTGGAGACCGAAGCCCTGGGAAAAACTTAGTGATGCAGAAGAGAGAGGCAGGTGAAGCAAAATAGACTGAGGATTAGCCAATGCTGTACTCTAATCAAGGCCAAGTGAAGAAATAGAAGTGAGCAAGTGTGAAAAGGGGGTAAGATGAGGACTGAGAATTGTCTTGCATTTGGCAATGCAGAGGATATTGGTGACTTTGTCAAGTGGGGATCCATGCAATGGCAGAGATGTAAGCCTTATTGGATTGGAGCCAAGAGAATATGGGAAAGAAGGAAGTGTAGACAGCAATTATAGACATACTTTTGGAAGGAATTTTTCTATAATCTGCAGAAAAAAGAGGTTCTATCAGGAGGAGGATGCGGAGTCAGGATGAGTTTGTTTAAGATGGCGGATTTTATGACATTTTTGTAGGGGATTGTTCCAGTAGAGAAGAAAAAATGGATAGTTCATTAGGGAAAGGGGATAATTGCATAAACAGGTGCTTGAGGAGACTAGAGGGGTGCCCAAGTGGAGGAACTGATCTTAGGAATAATAACAGTTTATCTGTAGTAATAGAGAAGGAAGAGTCTGGGGTACAACTGCAAGTAAATTGGAAGACTTGTTGTTGGGGAGGTGTGGAACTTCTCTTTTGATTGCTCTTTAATGAATTCAGCAAGGTCATCAGCACAGAGCAAGAGTAGGGAAAAGATGTTGGAAGAGAGAGGATAAGGTGTGGAATCATCTAGAATAACACTTTTTAAATTTTTTTTTAGAATAACACTATTTAAATAGTATTATTTAATACTCACTATGTGCCACATACTGTTTAGGTGCCTTACATTTATTAACTCATTTAATTCTTATAACACTAAAAGGTGAATATTTTTATTATCCCCGTTTTACTGAGGGATAGTGCCTTAGTCCATTCAGCTACTCTAACAAAATACTGTAGACTGGGTGGTATATAAATAACAGAAATTTATTTCTTGCCGTTCTGGAGATTGGGAAGTCCAAGATCAAGGTGCTGGCAGATTTGGTATCTGGTGAGAGCTTACTTCTTGGTTCATAGACAGCTCTCTTTGCTATAACCTTAAATAGTAGAAGGGCCAAGGCAGCTCTTTGGGGGTTCTATTTTATTTGTTCGCTTCTTTGTTTTTTCCGTTTTATTGAGATATAACTGACATACTGGGTTCTTTTTATAAGGGCCCTAATCCCATTCATGAAGACTGCACTCTTCTGACTTAGTCATCTCCCAAAGGCCCCATCTACTAATAACATCCCTGGGGAACAGGTTTCAATATATGAGTTTTACCTCCTAAACTAGAAGTGTGGGAGGATAGTTTGACAAGACAATATAGGAATGTTGAACAGTTCTGAGGGCCCATTTGACACTGTAGTTAGAAAGTTGTATCAGTCAGCATGATTTTGTGTATTCTTCAGATTCATTCAATATAATGACTTAGTAGGTGGAGAGTTGGTTTTAACAGGGCTGGCGGTGGAATCTAGTCCCGTGAATGTGATGGAGGAAGGACAAGGGAGTTGAGAGTGATTGCAAGGAAAGGGTTACAGTGAACCATGAGATTGAAGCTAGAGGAGTAAACAGCTGGGAATAGTCAGAACACTTCTGAAGACCTGGCCCTACCAGATAGGAGAAATTTCTATGAAGCTAAGTAAGATAGTTTTAGTACAGAAGTAGGTAAATTGACCAATGAATAGAATAGAGAGGCCAGCAAGAGACTCATGAATGTAGAATATTATTAAATAACAGAATTAGATGTCGGATCATGTATAAAGGGAGGACTGATGGAGCTGCACAAAATCTGGTTACTCAAAGTAAACTGGATCACCATGTCAGGCTAGGAACAAAATCAACTCCAGACAGATTGAGGACCTACATGTCAACAACAAAAATTTTAATTTCTTGATAGAAAACAAAGATGAATATCTTCATGAACTTGGGAAAGGAAGATATTTCTGAATGGGATAAGGAGAAATGAATTACTGAATTACCTACAGTAAGGGACAAGGAAGGACTCGGCTGTATTGCTTAGGGACAGACTTCAGAATAACTATGATACTATCGTGTTTTCTGGGAGGTATTTTTTAAAGATAATTTTAGAGAGAGAGAGGCAGAGGGATAGGGAGAGAGAATCTTAAGCAGGCTCCACACTCAGTGTGGAGCCTGACACAGGGCTTGATCTCACAACCCTGACATCATTACCTGAGCCAAAATCAAGAGTTGGATGCTTAACCGACTGACTGAGCCACCCAGGTGCCCCTCTTCTGAGTTTTAATAATTGCTTCATAAAGCTGTTCAAACTTTCTGTTATGCACTTTATTCTGAATGTGATGAATATATGAATGGTTATATATGTTGTTGGGAATTGAATTCAATTTCATTAGGAAATGTAATACTATTCAAGTTATTTATTCTTGAGTGAGTTTTAGTAATGTGTACCTTTCAAGGAAAGTGTCCATTTTGTCTAAGTTGTCAAATGTATGGCCATAAAGTTATTTGTAATATTCCTTTATAATCCTTTTAATATCTATAGATTCATAGTGATGTCTCATCTTCCATTCCTGATACTGGTAAGTTGTGTCTTCCCTCTTTTTCTTGGTCTGCTAGAAATTTATTAATCTTGTTGATCTGTTCAAAGAACCAGCTTTTGCTTTAACTGATTTTCTCTATTTCTCTATTTTCAATTTTATTGATTTCTGATCTTTTGTGTATTATATACTTTCTTCTGCTTGTTTTGGATTTAAATTTGCTCTTCTTTTTCCAGGTTTTCAAAGTGAAAGCTTAGGCCATTGATCTGAGACTTTTGTTCTTTTCTGTATATTTAATGGTATAAATATCTAAGCACTGCTTGAGCTGCATGCCATGAGTTTTGGTATGTTATATTCTATTTTTTTTTTTTTGTAGATTTTATTCATTCATTTGAAAAAGAGAGAGCGAGCCTGAGCAGGAGGAGGGGCAGAGGGAGAGGGACAAGCAGACTCCCTGCTGAGCAGGGAGCCTAGCACACGTCTGATCCCAGGACTCTCTGAGATCATGACCTCAGCCGTAGTCAAATGCTTAACCAACTGAGCTACCCAGGCACCCCTGTTATATTCTAATCTGAATTTGATTCAAAACATTTACTAACTTCCCCTTTGAACAGTGGATTATTTAAAATTGTGTTTCTTAATTTCCAAATATTTGGGGACTTTCCAAATATCTGTGTTGTTCATCTCTTTTTCTTTCTTTCTTTCTTTTTTTTTTTTTAAAGATTTTATTTATTTGACAGAGAGAGAGATAATGAGAGCAGGAACACAAGCAGGGGGAGTGGGAGAGGGAGAAGCAGGCTTCCCGTGGAGCAGGGAGCCCGGTGTGGGGCTCGATCCCAGGATCCTGGGATCATGATCTGAGCCGAAGGCAGATGCTTAATGACTGAGTCACCCAGGTGCCCCTGTGTTATTTATTTCTAGTTTAATTCCATTATGATCTAAGAACAGACATTTTCTTTTACTTTAAAAAATTTTTGTTGAGGTTTGCTTTATAGCCCAGAATATAGTCACGCATGGTGAATGTTCCATGTACGCTTGAAAAGAAAATATTTTCTGCTGATATTGGGAAGAATGTTTTATAAGTGTTAATTAGCCCATAGTGGTTGATAGTGCAGTTCAGGTCTTCTGCGTCCTGTATTCAAGATGATAATAGTGATGAGAGGTGGGAGTGGGGATCATAGTTGGATGTTGGGTTATGGTTTATTTTAGGTAGTGAGTTTAATTATTATATTATTATAAAAACAAGTAACAAATGATGCGTAAACTGATGGTCAGAGTGTGTTATGAATGAAGGATTTTGATTACTATGGCTAAGAAAAGGAAAAAAAAAAGGATTTCATTTTTGTTTTTGGAGTTTTGAGTTTTTCATTTCCTGATAAAGCATTTATTACTTAATTTGAAGCCTGAAAAGAGAAGGGATTTTCTTTGACCTTGGGCCTAAATTTCTTAAAAGGGCCCTAACCAAGAATCGGGTTTAGGAATTAGAGGGAAAAAAAGAAGGCTGCCATGACTGAAGCATAGCAAGTTGGCAGGAGACTAGAGGGAGGTGAAGTTAGAGACTTGGACAGGGCCACCTCAAGTCCAACTTGCAGGCCAGGATAAGGGATTTGCACTTTATTATGAATGTGATGAGAAGCCGGCCACTGAAGGGCATCAAGTAAGAGAGTGACAAGATCTGATCTACATTTTTTTAAGAAGATTTGTGTATTTATTTTAGAGAGAGAGGGAGCATGTGTGCATGGTCAGGGAGCAGGGGGAGGGGCAGAGGGACAGGGAGAGAGTGGGAGAGAAGCAGACTCCCCACTGAGCGGGAGCCCAACGCAGGGCTTGATCTCACAACCTTGAGTTCGTGACCTGAGCCAAAATCAAGAGTCACACGCTTAACTGACTGAGCCACCCAGGCACCCTGATCTGATCTACATTTTTAAAATATCATGGTGCCTGCCATGAAAGGGCACTCTGAAGGGGCAAGAGAAGACTTGGTTTATCCAAAGAGGGGACCAACTCAATAGCACTGGTCATTGGAGATGAAGAGATGTCGTAAAATTCCCAGTATAATTTGGACATCGATCATGATGGAAAGAGCAAAATCACTGACATCACCAGCACCACCGTCTGTAATAGGGTTTTGAGAACTATTTAGGTGCCAGGCATAGGACTTCACATGCCTAATTTTTTTTCGTCCTCAAAACAGCACCTGTGTGGTAGGTGCTATTATTAGTCCTGTCTTACAGAGAGGAAGTTGAAACTTAAAGAAGTTAACTTACTTAACCAGAGCATGTTTGTTCATTTCCAGATTAGTTATAAAAGCAAAATCTTGATTTTTAAGGAATTTAGAAAAAACTTTAATGAATGTTAAGTAAATAAGGCACAAAATTAATGAAAATAATTTTCTAGCCAGCAAAGTATCAGGAAAAGTAAAGGATACAGTTCTTAAGATTACAGTATTCTTATTATAAGTTGCAACATGACATCTATAGTTTGTCAGAGGCATATGAAAACTGATAGACACTTTGTTATGAAAGAATTGTGTTTGGTAATTCTTGAGGTGTTGGGGAAGTAGGGACAAGAAGGAGAACAAGTGTTTCCCTTTTCTAGTATTTCTTTCTGAGTAAAAGGAGTTAAATTAGTGTAACTCCTTATTTCTCTGCCAGTTTACCCATTCTGTGCCAGCTATGGATGACATCTGTGGTAAATTAGGAAAAATAGTCTAGGTATGTTCAGCTCTTTTTTCCTTTTTGAGACCCAGCCTCGCCATGGAGTATACCTTTCCCGTTTCTTCTGGGGTAGGCCTCTCTTCCTTCTTGAGAGCCCACTGCTGCCAAACCAAACCATGGTTTGGTTACAGTCCATTTTGTTTCTGCACTAAGTTTTGTCTGCCTTCTTGGCCTTTCACAGTAATGAGGGTGGTATTTTGGTCTCTACTTGTCTTACCCCTTGTTTTATTTTTCAGTTGGTTTAGCACTCAGGTGGGGCGGGGAGGTATTATTTGACTTATCTCAGAGTCCCCCATCCCCCTAACTAAGAAAAAAGATTGGTCTTCATAAATTAGATCAGTTGATGAGATTTACGTCAAGGATGATGCTGATTCTTTGTACCATATGAAAGAGAAGTTAGCTTTTTGGCGAGAGCAGCCAAGGGTTTTAACAATGTTGACAATTTATATTGGAGCATTTAGAATAGTTAGAAATGACTCCAAGTGTTTTAACTATAAAAATTGAGGTATTAGTTGCTATGGAAATGTGACAAGTTGAAACAACAGCTTTAAGTGAGAAAGAAGAAGCAGTAAGAATAAGACCGATGATTCCATGCTCTGTAAAACTACTAGTGATGAATGTTGAGTGCTTCATTTTACCTGATTAAATTATTAAACACAGTTTTTCCCTTATCCAAAATGAATGAGATTTCTTATCCTCTCATTGTAGCTACTTCTGGTGCAGTGAATATTTCTTCTCATATCTATTCCGGGGGGAACTAAAGAAATATGTGTGTATTACCATATAAACGTAACAATATTCAAGCCTGGTCTTTAAAATCTTTTTATTATAATTAAACCTCTGTGTAGGATCTAGGGGGGATTGACAACACTGTTCTTTGATGCCCTTTGTGAAGTTCCTGGAAGGGAGTTATCATTTTAATATGCATATTGAAAGTTATTCTCCAGGTATTCTCTAACTTGGCTGAGAACCAAACAAAAGAAAATAGGCTTTTATTTCAGCAGGGACCTTTGAGTTGTAAGAAATAATAAGAGATAATTTTACTCACTAGGAACAGAAAGATAATTTCTTTCACTCAGTATAATATTAGGTTTAAAATCTCATTCCCTGGAGAGATTTAAAGAATCCGGTATATGGGCCAGATCTGTGCTCTCTGAGGACCAACTGCTCTTCAGTGATGGGGAGTGGCCAGGGGTCAGTCTTTCAGCTTTTGCATTCCGTGGTAAAATGAAATTTCACTAGGACTATTTCTAGAGTATTTAAATGTGATAATGTATAAGTTATTGTAATATAAATATAAAAACTCCTATAAAAGTAAATGTGCATTTTTATATCACTAAAACGTTATTTCTTAAAGGACTTTAAGGTAAAACAGGATTTTCCCCCCTTAAATTAAAAGAAAAAAAGAACGAGAGAAAAAGGAGTGAGGAACTAGAGGAAGAGAGGAAGAAAAGAAATGAGGGGTCCTGGGTTTATATAGGTACAAAAAGGACAGGAGTAATTTTTCCACCGATTTAACACTGTTGGTTCTAGCAGTCATTACTGATTATTAAGATAACCCAAATGAATAAATCTGTATCCATTTCATAGATATGTTCATTTTTCATTTTTAAAGTAATGTTTATTCAATTTATTTAAACTAAAATAAAAACAGAAAAACCCAGTTTACCCATTTTTCCTATCCTCCACTACCCTGTGCCCCTGGTAACCACCAGTCTGTTCTCTGTATCTATGAGCTTGGTTGTTTTGTTTTGTTTTTTACATTCCACATACAAGAGAGATTATATGGCATTTGTCTTTCTCTAACTTATTTCACTTTGCTTAATGCCCTTGAGGTCCATCCCTGTTGCTGCAAATGGAAAGATTTCATTCTTTTTTATGGCTGAATAGTATTCCATTGTGTATAATATTCCATATAAATATACCATAATTTCTTTATCCATTTATTCATCATAGTTAAACACCTCCCAACAACAAATATGTAGAAACATACATAGACGTGTGTGTTAAATTAGATGCCTGCCCCTCAGGTCAAGGTTTTAATATAAGCAGGTGAGCTTTCTTTACTATAAGTCTGGATGTGATCAGCTGCCTCTGAGCTGGGCCGTGGAGTGAGTCCATCTGAGTGAAAGAGCCCTTCAAGGGCCATTTCTTAGATCACTACTGTCTTGTGGGTTTTGAACATGAACCCCACTGGTTTTCAAATGATGTTTTGGGAGTTCATCTCTCAAGTACATGTCTTAAAGGTTGAGGTGTCCAGTATGGAATTCAAACTCTTTACTACTCAGGGAGCAGCTCTGGGTTTGAGTTCCCCCCGGGTTTGGGTTGCCACACCTGGGGTGGTGTCCCAGCCTCTCCTACACACTTTGATTTGGTTTTCTTCTTTGCCTGATGTGTAATCATCACTCAGCCAGGCTTTAGGTTTTTTTTTTTAAATAGGAACTTGTTCCATATGTAGTGGTAGACTCAGCATGTCTGTGGGAGGAAATGAGTTGAAGATCTTAGAACATAACCATCTTAAAACCAGAACTCCACTATGAGTATCATTTTTCATAGTATGGAATGCTCATTTGCCAATGAGTATTTTAAGTTTACTCGGATAGGTTTTTTAAGTTAAAATTTCCAATGATATTAAAATTTCCAAACTTATGTTAACTATTTAGAAGACAACATCTTGGATTTGTAGCAGGTAGTTATATACAATGCTCTCTTTGAAACTAAGTGTGCTTATTAATTTTTGTCCAAAGAATCTGTTTTGCACTTATTATAAATGATGGCCTGAACTGTAGGACAACATCAAAATAGCACATATTCTCAATATGAGTTTTACTTTAGTGAATTAAAACTCGGTCTCTGGTGAGGTGGGGACCTGCATGTTCCTAATGAGCATTTTTGAGCGTGTTGGAGGCCTTTTCTTCCTTAGGACCCAGGTCTGGTAGGTTCTCCCTAATACTTAAACCTCCTTTCCTAGTCCATGCCTCTAATTATCACACTAAATTTGGTAGTTAGTAAACCCTTATAATAAAGTTTCTTTTGCACTGTAACTAACAGAAACCCATTTCAGGCTGTGTTAAGAACAAAAGGCAAGTTACTGGAAGGACACTGGGATAAGTCATAGACTTCGGTAGCAAAAGATACATACTGACCTCATGAGAGAGTAGAATCAGGAATTGGAAAGCCACTTCAAACTCTTCGAAAGAGTTCATTATGTCTCATTTCTTATCTCTTCATCTATTATATAACTGCCTCCCTCTACCCCTCAGCTATTGCTTGGAGTGGAGGTGCGGCCATTATCAGTGGAGGTCACCAGATTGCTATGTGAAACATTCCAGGTGTTTACCCCAGCAGTTATGTGCTCACATTTCTGTACATCACTGGGCTAGGAGCCTCATGGGGGTGAGGCCTAGGTCTTTTTCATCTTGTATTCCTGGCATGTAGCATACAGCAATGAATATTTGTCTAATGAACAAATTTATGAAAGAGCAGGACTCTTGTCTCAGCTTAGCTTGAGAACCAAGAACATAAATATATGCCATAATTTGGTATATTATTTGTGTTCCAAGAAGTCAAAGGGGAATCAAAAGTAAGAAAAATTAACATTTAAATCAAAAGCACTTATTTCATTTACTAACCTGATTCTAATCAACTCGGAAGTTGATTTGATGAAAATTAGGAGAAATCATGGCAGCAATCAGGCTCTGAACCTAATAAAGCGCCTGTATTAGTCTGGATTCTCCAGAGAAAACCAAATATATATATATCCATACATGTGCATATGAAATTAATCCTAAATAATCCTAAATTAATTCTATATATGATTTATTATAGGAGTTGGCTCATGCAGTTATGAAGGCTGAGAAATTCCAGTATCTGTTGTCAGCAAGCTGGAGACCCAGGAGAGCCAATGGTATAGTTCCAGTCTTAGTGAGTCTGAAGGCAGGAGAAGACTGAATTCCCTGCTTCAAGACAGGTAGAGAAAGTGAAGTCTCCCTTACTCCACTTTTTTATTCTATTCAGACCTTCAATGGATTGGATGAAGCACACTCATATTGGGGAAGGTGATATGCTTTACTCAGTCTACTGATACAAATACTAATCTCATTTAGGAACACTGTCAGAGACACAGCCAGAATAATGTTTAACCAAATACCTAGGCACCTTGTGTCCCAGTCAAGTTGACATATATTAACCATCACAGAGTCGCACCCCCTATAAGGGGCAAGAAGTACATAGGCTGGTATTTTGCTAATGAGCTGATGTAACTTGGATTTTGTATATTTGCATTTTCAAGCTATGGAATTTGATGAAATACTTGAATTAGTTGATTTTCTAGTTACGTTTGCCTAAATACTCAGGCCCTGGGAGTCACGACCATGTGGCATGAAGTAAGAATTAATTATGTGACATTTTTGATAGGCTTATTCATTACCCTGTACATTTTATTGAGCATCATCTAGGACCAGCAGTAGCTAAGGCTCTAGGTGTATCAGTTAGTTAGATGCAGTCCCTGCTGTCTTGGAGCAGGCCTTCCAGTGAAGAAACACACTGTAGATAGGTAACAAGAAAATATATGTCTCATACAAAGGTGATATATGTTATGATGAGGGTGAACAGAATGCAGGGAGAGTTAGAAGGGTATGAGGTGATCTCTACAGATGGAACAATATGTACAGTTACTGAGGTGCAAAAAAGTTGGCATGTGGAAGGTATTGAGAAAAATCGAAGCCAGTGTGCTGGAACATGGTACGGAGAAGGGTTGCATAAAATGAAGCAAGAGAGACCAGCAAGAGCCAGATCATGCAGGTCTTTGAAGGAGGTGGATGGATTTGGATTTTGAATCAGTGTGCTAAGACCATTGTGATTGATATGAACATTTGACTACTGTGATTTTTGGTCTGAGAGCATTTGGATGATTAGAGACTGTGGTCTGGCAAATGCTAGTTGTTCTTTCAGGCAAATATTATAATTAAGTCAGAGACATTTTTTTTTCCTTATGATAATACAGTTCTATATGATCACATATGATATTGGGAAGATAAATCTGTGATACTCAGATTTTCAGGTCACAGTAATATATCATAAATCAGAAAATGAAGCAAACACAAGGTATTTTCAGTTGAAAAGAAGGCAGCATGGATGTACAATCTCCTGTTCTCTCATGAAAACTGTTGGGATATTTTCCACGCCCCTCTGCATTTTCTGCATATCTTATGCGTGAGTCACTAACTGTTTTTTTGTTTTGGAATATCTTTAGGATGCATGTATAGTGAACGGCCTTGAAAGGTAGAAATAGTGTCTCCCTCTTACAAAGGGCAGGTTTACTTACAGCCTTGGAAACTCAGGGTTTCTGTCCTGAAATGAAACCCACTGTGTGTACAAGCATCCATGTGGGCCCAGCTGTATTGCTCTATGAGCAAGGGAAATTGACGCAATATACTGATGCTCATGCTACTTGCTTCTGTGTGAGTAATGGAGTTCTTTGTGTCTGACCCAGAGTCTGTGTCTTCCGCCAGCATCCGTGAAACTGGCAGCTACCTTCTTAGCTTATCAATTAGTTAAATGTCATACCCTTCACAGTTCTGGACAGGGACCCTTCAGCCATCTGAGCAGGGAAGTGTAATGCCAGGCAGGTGATATCCTAGCGCTTTACAGCCTGCAAGTTATCACATTAACATTTTTGTCACTGCTTTTCTCTAAAGTCACAAGATGAGCTATTCTCTGACAACCACATCTTAAGTGTGACTTCTGATTTAAAATACATCTGTGAAACTTACTAGCTACTAATTATTTTACCTTAAATATTCTTTTTTTTTAAAAGATTTTATTTATTTATTTATTAGAGAGAGAGCACAAGCAGGGGGAGCGGCAGGCAGAGGGAGAAGCAGGCTCCCGCTGAGCAGGGAGCCTGATGCGGGACTCGATCCCAGGACGCTGGGATCATGACCTGAGCTGAAGGCAGATGCTTAACTATCTGAGTCACCCAGGTGCCCCTACCTTAAATATTCTTAACAAGTGGAAGAAAATGTCAACAACAGAAAGATTGCTATGTTGAAATTTTAGGATGATCAAGTCATAGAATATATTAAAATGAAATTGAAAGTGATTTAAAATTAAAAATTTTGTATACGTTTGTGTGCCTGAAAATATAACTGAAGCATATTTCCGTGGAAGGATTGTTACATGATAAGCACTAAGGAGCTTACACTCTGGTTTGTGTTAACAGAATCATTATTATTGCAGTGCGTGTCTTCACGGGCTTGGTTTCTTACCTTCCCCTGACCAGAAATTTGAGGAGCAATTGGTCAGACACTGCTGCCACTGCCATGGGAGACTATGAGGTATTGCTCTGGCAGCTGGAGGAAATATTTTATATTTGTACTGTCCAGTACAATGGCCCCTAGCCATGGGTGGTTACTGACCACTTGAGATTTTGGTTAGTTCGAATTGGGATGTACATAAATGTAAATTATATACCATATTTCAGACTTAGAGCAGAAAAAGAAAGTAAAATATCTCATTAATAATTATGTTTGAAATAATATTTAAATATGTTAGGTTAAAGAAAAAAATATTAAAACTAATTTTACCCCTGGCTTGTACTTCTTTCAGTGTGGCTACTAGAAAATTTTAAATTACATACACAGCTCTCAGTATATTTCTGTTGAACAATGCTATTCTAAATCCTTGCTACTCACAGGACATTCGGCAGGCAAGCAGCATCAGCATCATGTGGAAGCCTGTGAGAAACAGAGAAGCTCTCGCCCCACCCCAGACCTACTGGATCAGAATTTGCATTTTAACAAAATCTCACATGATTTGTATGCATGTTAAAATTTGAGTAGCAGAAAGCTCTAAGACAAGGATTGCCAGATTTAGCAAATAAAAATACAAGATTTCTGGTTAAATTTAATTTCAATAAACAACAAATGATTTTTTAAGTATAGTATGTCTAAATATTGCATGGAATGTACTTATTATTAAAATTATTGCTTTTTTGAAATTCAGATGTTACTGGGTGTCCTGTATTTTATTTGGCAAACCTGCCTAAGACTAAGCTCCTCCTTTCCAGACCTGTCTTGCTACCTGAAATTCCACATAATCAGGAAAAAGGCAGAAAGGTAAAAGACATGGCGGGTGGAAGTTGGGTAAAATGAAAGAACAGAGAAGAAAAGGAAATACAATGGGAAGTAGGAATAAGATGGGCATGGAAAAGCAACATTGATAGTGGTGACTTTTTCTATTTTATAATATTTCTTAGCATCTTTCTTTGTTATTTCTCCATCTCCACCCCCTAGCCCCCCCACCCCTATCCCTAGTCATTGCGCTTTCATCACCTCTTCTCATTTAGGGCTCCTTAGAGCTATGTTAGAAGATGGTGTGTGTGCAAAGTGGATAGTAAGGAAGGGGAAGTATGTCCTTTGGGTCAAGTCCCTAGACTTCCAATAATCCATCATCTCTGAAATGTCACTTACAAATAGCCCCTTTCAGCTACCAGTACTTTGCCATTAAAGAGATCAAGGTTCTTAAGTACCAAAAATGCTGACACTTTCGTTTTGGAGGATTTTCTTTATTGTGGCATTTTAATTGTATTTTTTAAATGTAAAATAACTCTTCAGGATTTTGTTGTTTGGTTTGTGTTTTTGCACACATTTTAGGTGGCAGGGGAGTGGGAGTGGAGACTGGCAAGGAGGAAATAACAATAGATAGTCTTTATTTAGCTAGGCATTGAAGTAAGAAAAGGTTTTCATCTATTATATTTATTTATTTAAAATTTTATTTTATTGTGTTAAGAACACTTAACATGAGATCCACCCTCTTAACAAATTTTTAAGTGCATAATACCGCATTGTTAACCATAGGTACAATCTTGTACAGCTTATCTCTAGAATTTATTAATCTTGCACAACTGAAATTTTATGCCCATTGATTGGTAACTTCCTATTTTCTCCTCCCTCCCCTGCCCCCCAACCCCTGGTAACCACCATTTCACTCTTTGATTCTATGCCATGCCTATTCTAGATACCTTATATAAATGGAGTCATGTGGTATTTAAGCCTGGCTTATTTCAATTATAATAATGTCCTCAGGGTTCATTCATGTCACATATTGCAGAATTTCCTTTTTTAAAGGCTGCATAGTATTCCTTTGTATATATATATCACATATTCTTTATCCATTCATCCATCCGCAGACACTAGGTTGTTTTTCCATCTTGGCTATTGTGAATATCAGTGCTGCAGTGAATATGGAAGCACTAATATTTCTTTGAAATCCTGATATCAAGTATTTTGGGTAAATACCCATAAGTGTAATTGCTGGATCATAAGGTAGTTCTATTTTTAATATTTTGAGGCATATCCATATTGTTTGCCCCAGCAACTGTACTATTTTGTATTCCTACCAGCAGTGTACAATCCAATTTCTCCACATCTTTGCCAACACTTGTCTGTTCACTTTCTTCTTTCCTTCCTTCCTGCCTGCTTTCTTTTTCTTTCTTTTCTTTTCTTTTCTTTTATTTCTTTATTTATTTGATGGAAAGAGAGAGAGCGAGCGAGACAGCGAGCACCCATACAAACAGAGGGAGCCACAGGAGAGGGAGAGGCAGACTCCCGCTGAGCAGGGAGCCTGATGTAGGACTCGATCCCGGGACCCTGGGACCATGACCTGAGCCGAAGGCAGACGCTTAACCGACTGAGCCACCAGGTGCCCCTATATGTCAGTTTTTAATGGCAATACTATACTGTTTAAATTATTGTAGCTTTACAATATATTTTTAAATCAGGAAGTGTGATACTTCCAGCTTTGTTCTTTCTCAAGGCAGGTTTGGCTATTTAGGGCCTCGATATATCTTTGCAACAGTTCTTTGAGCAAAATACTTTTGTCCCCACTCTGCAGATGGGGAAACTAGAGCTGGGAATGCAATTGAGGGCTGTCTGACTCCAAAGTCAGTGCTCTTTACCATTACATTCCAGATCTCTTAGCACATGGAGAGTCATGAATTTAACAGGAAACTGTGAAGTAGGACACATAAGTAAAATTAGGTAAGTTTCAGAGATTTTTACTCATTTATTCACCTGAAAAATGCATGTAATAATGTATATTTTGTAGATTTTTGAGGAGAGTTTAATAGCTTCCTGAAAAGCAGTATGAGATTCTTATTAAAAGTTAGAGTATCAAAACAATGCTAGTTTCTAAAAAGAGGTTAATTGAAAATCTGCTCCCTAATAATCTTTAATGAATAAGAAACATCCTAAATAGACCCACTGCTTTCACTCTATACTCTAAATTAAGCAGTATCAGGCCCCTCCCTCCACCCTCTCCCATGCATAATATATCCTGGGAATATGGTCTTTTTATTGGTTGACTATGTTGTCAGTCACAAGACATGGAAGATTCTGCCTCTGCTCTGTTTGCATTTAAGAATTAACAGATGTGTTTGCTTTGAAGAAACTGATTTATTTCTTGATGGGAAGAAAAATCTTCTTCAGTTTTTCACTTATTTTTTTATGTATAGGATTTTCACTGCCTTTGGGCCAAATACTTGCCAGGAAGAATGTAAGGTGAGTAATTGCATATTTGTTAATTCAGCGCATCTGTGAACTTCAATGCAAGTGTGAAATTAGATGGTTCTGTAATTTCTTTATATTGTTGCATAGCTATATTTATAATTCAGATCGGATATATTAAATTAGATCATTCTGTAGCTAACAAAATCATTGAACTAGAGTTTATAAATAAGACATGAAAATACAATCTTTTATAAGAAACAAGAGTTATTCAAAATGCACAAGAAACATTTGTATTATGTATCAAAGTATGTATCTATGAGAAAATGACTCAAATCAGTGTTCAGGTTTCTTTTATACTTACAAGTAATACTAATTTCATGGTTTTCTCCTGCCATTGTTATGAGAGAAGAGAGCAAGGAAAAATTAAAAACCTCAGAAATATATAACCTGTCCTTCAAAGAAAAGGTGTTGAGTCATTTTAACTGGTAGGGGACGGTAATTGCTTGGAGTACATACACTTAAAACTAACAAGCAAAACTTCTATTCCTGTATCCTTTGTCTTTGGCTCTTTCCTTACCATATAAGGGAAACTATAGAGATTTATCTATAAGGGAGAATATTCAGAATCTGAATAGCAATTAACTTATGTTATATCTCCTAATTGCTCATTATGTGCCATCCCAGTAAATACATCAGGGAATTTAGTGTGAACACAAAGGATGGTGCCAAGTAGGATGGTCTGCCAAAACTGTGTTAAAGAATCTTTAAGTCACCAGCTGATAAAAACTGTAAGTGCAGGCATTTTCTATTTGTTTCCCCCGTTGTTTCTAAATCAGTTAGTGCTTTCCTTCAGGTTCATTTTCAAATAGTAAGAGACCTATACTGCTCTTAAGTTATTAAAGCTTAGTAAGGTTTCCTTACTTCATTTGTACAGAGATGACTGATTTGTGTATTACACTGGTAAAATGTACACCAAATACTATAAAAATCCCAGTTATGTTTTTGAAGCAAGGTTAATGGGTTTAAATAATCTCAGCTTCGGAAGGGACCCTAGAAATCACATCAATCCATGATCATTTGAATCTAAAAATATAGCATATTAATTTATTATGAAAGAAACAACAGTTGCTGTTTTATGAATGTCTTTCAAATCATAGATCTGAAATTTAAAATATCTTTCATTTTTATGGGTCAATTCAAGGTTCTTAAGTCTCTAGGAAGGATGATTGTATTTTAAATTAATACTTGTTTCCTAAGCTTAGAGAAAGTAGGGGTCACCACTCTTTCTTTACATATTTCTTCCTCAAATTGGGTTAAAACAATTCCTTTAACAAAAGGAAATATTTTGCCTCTCACACAGTATCCTGTGTGATCTCTCATTTTCTACTTCCCTTTCAGACTTTGTTCATTCATTAATCTGTTCATTCATTCATGCATGTAGCACATACATTTTTAATACTTGGTACCTTTAAATAGCTAGGTACTGTGCTAGGTACTGGGTCTACATTGGTGAGCAAAACAGAAATAGTCCCTGCCTTCATGAAGCTTTAAGTCTAGTGGAGGAGGTACTCTCATTAGTCAAATGTGAATCATGCTGTGAAAGAAGTGTGGGAGGCTATGAGCACATATAATAGGTGGATCTGAACTGGTCTGAGATAGCAGGAAGAGTGTTCTTAAGGAAGTGACATTTAAGCTGTAATCTATAGCAAAGGGAGGGAGTACCTAGGAGGAGGGGGAAGGGGAGGTTAGAGAACATTCTAGGTGGAGGGAACAGCAAGTGCTAAGACTCTTATGAGAGAAGAAGGGAACATGAAGCATCGAAGGAGCTGAACTAAAGACTGCTGGTGTAGCTAGAACAGACAGGGGAAGAGGACAGATGAGGTGAGCACAGTTAGCAGGTCTTTCAGGGTCTCAGAGGCCATGGTGGGAATGTGGTCTTCCTCCTGCACAGAACCATGGCAGAGCTGTTTCAGCTTCACCTTCATGAAGGCATTACTTTGCAGACTCATGATGGACTACAAAAATATGGGACCAGCCACTACAAGCTTCAGGCTCTTGATTACTTTTCAAAGATATTGCAGAGATCCCTTTTACTGGACAAGGATCGGAATATTTTTAGAGACAATATAGATTTTGTTTCTTTATTATTTATTTAAAAAAAATTTAACCAGTGTTTCTCAGTTTATTCACATAGATAACTTCAAACAGTTAATTCTTTACAATCTTACTTTAGTTCAGAGATTATGTAGTGATGTGAAAATGTATATATATATATATTTTTTTTTTTTAAAGATTTTATTCATTTATTTGTCAGAGAGAACACAAGCAGGGGGAACGGCAGGCAGGCAGGCAGGCAGGCAGAGGGAGAGAAGCAGGCTCCCCGCTGAGCAAGGAGCCCAATGCGGGGCTCAACACCAGGACCCTGGGATCATGACCTGAGCCGAAGGCAGACGCTCAACCGACTGAGCCACCCAGGTGTCCCGAAATGTATATATATTTTATCTTAGGTTGAGATTATGGTTTCCTATAAAACCTTGTTAATTCAGTCTTGTGGGTATGGGAAAGGCCTATCTAAATTATAGTTCATTTAAAAAAAGAAGTATAGCAGCATTATTGTTTGTTCATGACCATAGATTCATTGAAAAGAAAATAAGCCTTTGTTCTCTTCTAAAAGCTTTTCATATGTGAACACTTGGAAATTTTTAATGAATAGAGCAAAGTCTCAAGCCAAGCGTATTATCAGTTTGGTAGCTCATCCATCCATCTATCCATCCATGCATACATGCCTTCATTCATTCATTCATATACTTTTATTCAGGAAACTTTTATTAAACTGTTCTGCTAACTAGATATTTCTAAATGACTTGATAAATTTTCATATTATTTAGATAAAATATCTCATAATTTTCTTTTTTTGTTCATTAAGACATTTTAAAATTGAATACTTAACCCTGTATCATGAAATGTGATTTTTGGATAAATGAAGTTTAAATTAAAGAAATTTTAAAAGTCTATTTGTGTACAATGATATTATTAGAAAGCTTGAAGCTCTTAAGAAGTATTGCCTGGGTATTAGTGTTTCTTTCATGTATTCAGTCACTTTGTAACTTGCAGTACAGAGTTTGAAATTTAAGTAAGATAGAGATCTTTTAGCTAAAGCACATCACTATTGTATTTACATGATTGCTGATTGGAGCCTCACTTTTGCTGCTCAGGAAATTAAATATCTTAGTGCTCCTAGGTGTATTTGGGTTCTGAGGACTGATTTATGCTAACCCTACTCACCAGAGACTATCAATCAGAATGCTAATTTATAAATTTTTAAAGGAAGACATCTTTTTTTCTTTTTTTTTAGAGACAAAGAAAGAGAGAGAGTGGGGAGGTTGGGAAAGGGTCGAGGGAGAGGGAGAGAGAGAATGTTAGGCAGGCTCTACGCCTAGCGCAGAGCCTGATATTGGGCTCGATCTCACAACCCTGAGATCAATACCTGGGCTGAAATCAAGAGTCAGATGCTTAATTGACTGAGCCACCCAGGTGCCCCAGAAGGCATCTTTTTAAAAAAGAATAAATTAAAAAAAAAATCCATCAAAGTAATGCATATACATGGTTTTAAAAAAATCAGGTGTTACCAAGACACATCATAAATTATCGAAAAAAAAGTGTCTCCCATTTAGTCAGCTTCTCTAGTAACCAACAACTCCAGTTTTCCAGAATCTTACAGTCTCGAACATTTATTTCTCACTCATGTTACCTGTTGATAGCTATTCAGTGGGCTGTTGCAGGCCTGCTCCAGCTGTTTCCCATTTCTTGTCATTCCAAGACCTAGACTGAAAGAGCAGCCCCTGTTTGGGCACACCGTCATCAGGGCAGAGAGAAGGGGACAAGGAGGCGGCAGACACATGCAGCACCTCAGAAAGTTTCTGCAGAGCTGGTACATTGTTGCTTCCCCTCATGTTCCATTGGCTCGACCAAGACACAGCGCTGAGACTTACTGTGGGGCAGGAAATACTCTCTACCTACAGGGAGGTACTGCAAAGCATATAGCCAAGGGCAAGGATATATACATCTCGGATTATTTCCAGGGAGTTGGGAACAATCCTACAACCCACAACACTGCCACATTATTTAAATATGTGTAGAGGATTTCTCAATTTACACGTTTTATTTTATTTTTAAAAGATTATTTATTTATTAGAGAGAATGAGTGAGAGAGAGAGCACGAGCAGGGGGAAGGGGGAGAGGAAGAAGCAGACTTCCCGCCAAACAGGGAGCCTGATGTGGGGGCTCGATCCCAGGACCCGGGACCACGACCTGAGCTGAAGGCAGACGCTTAACCGACTGAGCTACCCAGGTGCCCCTCCAATTTATACATTTTAGACATTGCCTAACAACTTCCTGTTATTGCTGACAAAGTTTTTGCCTCCAACACTGCCTTCACCTTCCTTTTCTTCATTCCCCCACCCATCTAATATATAGTTACATTACTACTTTCAGTTAAATCTGTGCTGGCATCAGTGTGACTGTGCGTGGATTATTCACTGACAAGCCAGTTAGCATACTATAAATGTTTCTCTTTTCTTTATACAACTCTTTGCTTTTCTCTTGATTTAAAAATTATTACCCTTTTTCATTTGCAATATTTAAAAATATATATATTCTTGGGACGCCTGGGTGGCTCAGTCAGTTAAGCATCTGCCTTTGGCTCAGGTCATGATCCCAGGGTCCTGGGATCGAGCCCCGCATCGGGCTCCCTGCTCCGCAGGAAGCCTGCTTCTCCCTCTCCCACTCCCCCTGCTTGTGTTCCCTCTCTCGCTGTGTCTCTCTCTGTCAAATAAATAAATAAAATCTTTAAAAAAAATAAAAAAATATATATTCTTAATTCTTTTCACAAGTCCCCTCATCTAATATGTAGTGTAGCGTCTCAAATCCTTTTACCTAGAGCCCTCCCTCTAGGTCTCCTCTTTGGAGCTCTTTTGTCCTCTCACTGCAATCTGGATCGATGCTCTCTAGGTCTTATATGCAATAGGCATCCTGAAGTTTTTCTTCCTCACCCTTCTAAGTTAGAGCCTCTGTTGATTAGTGCCTGGGCTTCCTCTTTCTTGGTTTCCTCTCACTTTGTTTGAGCACATCCTCCTTTAGCGTCCACGAAAGGGTGTGAGAGATACATTTTCTGAATCCTTGTATGATTCTTGTGTTTGTTTGTTTTTTTCTAATTTCTGGAAACTAATAATACATTTTTTGTATCCAGACTCTAAAATGTTACAAGTACCTCATCTCACAAATATGACTCAAAATGGATAACAGAGCTAAATGTAAAAGCTAAAACTTTAAAACTTCTAGATAAAGCACAGGAGAAAATTTTGTGATGTTATGTTAAGAAAATGGTTTAGACCCAGAAACATAGACAATAAAAGAAGAAAAACAAATACATTAGACTTTATGAAAATTAAAATGTTTCCATTTTGAAAGTCACCATTAAGAAAATGAAAAAGCAAGACAGAATGGAAGAAAATGTTTTCAATGCAAGTATCGGACACAGGACTTGTATCCATACAGAGAACTCTTTCAACTCAATAAGAAGAGACAGTTAACTTAATTAAAAATGTGATAAAAGATTTAAACACAGAGTTCACATAAGAAAATATATGAATGGTCAATAGGCACAAGGAAAGATGCTAATTCTTGTTAGTCATCAGGGAAATGGAAAAGAAAACTACAATGTGATAGCAACCAATGCCTATGAGAATGGATAAAATTGAACAGATTTACAGTACAAATATTAAAAGAACGTGGAGCCACAGAAAAGCTCATATAGTGAAATTGGCAGTTTTGTTAAAAGTTAAACTTTTACTATATGACTCCGCCATTCTTCTTCTGGGTATCTATTCAAGAGAAACAAAAAAATATTCCACATAAGCCCTGTACACAAATATATTTATATCTTTATTTGTAGTAGCCCCAAACTCGAAACACCATAAATGTCCATCAGTGGATGCCTAGACAGACAAAATGTGGTATATCTGTACAATGAAATACTTCTCAGTAATTAAAAGGAATGAGATATTAATATATATAACAACATCAGAGAATTCCAGTCATTATGTTTAGACTGAAAGAAGCCAAACACTGAAGAATATATATGATTCTATTTATAATTCTAGAAACTTATTTTAAAAAGTCCTTATCTTTTAGAAATACATACTTAAATCATATTAATTTCTGATATTTCCTTCAAAATAATACCAGAGAGGGGAAATGGGTGAGCTCATAGTTGAAACAAGATTGCTTATACCTTGATAATTACTAAAGCTGGATGGTGGGTACAAGTACATGGGGGTGGGAAGAGGGCTTATGTTTTTCTGTTTATATTGTATGTGTTTACAATATTCCATGATAAAAAGATGTGTAGATCTTCTAAGTTAGCAGTTTCACTTCTAGGAATTTATGTTAAGGAACTTCTTGGGGGCATGAACAAACAGTCCACAATAAGGTTCAATGTAGTATCGTTTGTTAATTGGAAACAACATAAATACGTAATAGGAATTTGGTTGAATAAATTGATACATTTGTATGATGTAATACCAACATGGAATTCAAAATTATGTCAGAAAATCATGTTGAGTACCGGGTGATGGATGGAATTGTTGAATCACTATATTGTACATCTGAAACTAATATAACACAGTATGTTAACTAACGGGAATTAAAAAGTTAAAAAAATTATGTCAGAAAAATATTACATGAGAAAATATTTGTGATATATTTTTAAGTTGAAAAAAATTTTGCAGGCTCCAAAACAGGATGTTTACACATACCTGTTTTTGAATTTTATAAAAAGTAAATTTATGTGTGTTGTATGTGTACATCTGTATGTGTGTGTGTGTGGAGTGAAACACTGGAAGGATATATAATTTATATCCCCATAATTTTCAGAAAAAGTTTTTTGGCAATAGAGTCTGTCTTGTTTTTTAATTAAAAAAATGAATATTTTTGCTTTAATATGGTAACAGTACAATAAGTATAAAACTTCACTGTAAAAGATTTTATTATGTTTCATTATTTATTTCCTTTATTATTTGGTTACTATTTATTTTGGTTAGACCTCAGTGTTTAGTACATTACTTGGTACATGGTAATATTCAGTGGATAAGAATTAGGGTTTATATTTACAAATTAAAAAAAAATTCTGACTTTTTCTTATTTTCTTTGAAGAACATGTATTACTTTTTTAAATCAGAAATTCACTATGAAAAAGTGGACAGTTTTGACAGGTAAGTTTCTGTCTTCTCTTGAGATGTAATAAACTGAAATATCCTCCTTAAAACTTCCTATGAAATCTGAAATATAGATATTTGTTCAGCATCTTTTTATTTTTGTTTTTTTCTAGTTTCATCTCTCGAACTTCTTCAAATAAAGAAGTGGTTATAAACGGTAAGACCTGTATTTGCCTGTATGATTTCTTGAAGGGTTGAGGAGAAGGGTGTTGTTTGTGTTGGGCTTCACTGAATACTGGTGATTGGGGCAGGAGTCTCACATGTAAAAATCTCTTAAACTGGTGTATTCCAAATTATGAGCCAGAAGAGGCTCAAGCCTGGCATATTTTACGGTGCTTAGCATTTTAGTATCATTCAGGTACATTAATAAATCAGTGACCTTTAGCCTTTGTACTCATATCATTTATTTGACAGATCAGCAGAGTAATGGAGACATGAATCCAATCCAGAATTTCACAACAATACCAATCACACAGGTATGGATATGTTAGGAAACTAGGTTGTATCTTTAAAAAAAATTTTTTTTAAACACATTTCAATCAGGTCAGAGCAACTGTGAAAATATGAATAATACTTCTGTTAATAACTAACATTTTTAAGTTTTGGGTGGGGAAATGTATTATAGTAGTCTTCTCGTAAATAAAAAACTAAAGCTATACTTCCTCTTGTATATTTTCATTACAATACTCAGTTTTACTTTAGTTGCTTTCCAGACAGGATCACTATAGTAACAGTTTATCTTTGGTTCCTGGTAAGCTTGGATTGCTGCTGCCTCTTTAATTTCTCTTTTATCTGTACTAACATTGGAGTAATCGGTATGGACTAGTTGATCCAGATAAGTAGATCTTCGGTCAGATATTTGTGACTTCTAGAGTCAAGTACTGAAGTGCATTGTCTCGGGCTGCCTCAGGTTTCATAAGATGAAGGATGATGTTAGAAGACCCTGCTAGTTTTTGTATATTACACGATCTGGACAGACTGTCTAGGCAGTAGCCACTAGCCACATGGGATATTTAAATTTAAATTCAAATGAAATAATGTTAAATAAAATTAAAAATTAATCTCAGTTGCACTGGCCCCATTTCCAGTGCCATGCTAGCTACAGAAAGCCAGTGACGGCGACACGGCACAGTGCAGATATAGAACATACCCAGTGTTCCAGAATGTTCTATAAGATATTAGTGGTCTGGAGAATTAGGCTTGATAGCTAGAAACCTCTTGTTATGTTTGTTTGCTTAACATATTAATTTCTTTATTTTAAAATCTTGCCTTATTTGGGTTCCTATTTTTTGAAGAGATAGATTACTGCCATTAGTTCATGACATGGTGAATTTTTGTTTTTAATTCCTAGACTTTTTTTTTTTTTGAGCAGTTTTAGGTTTACAGAAAAAATTGAACAAAATAGAAGGTTCCCATATGCTCCCTCAATCCCTCCCCCTCTTGAGTTTCCCCTTTGTTTAACATCTTGTGTTATTGTGGTGTATTTCTTAAAGTTGATGAGCCAATATTGATACATTATTATTAAGTACAGTCCATAGTTTACGTTCAGATTCACTCTTTGTGTTGTACATTTTATAGGTTTTAACAAATGTATAATAATATCTACCTACCATTATGGTATTTTACAGAATAATACTTTCATGGCCCTAAAAATTTGTGCTCCACCTATTCATCCCCACTCTCTCTCCCAGCCTGGAAACTTCTTGAGTCTATATTGCTAATATTATTATTTGCAAAGTCGGCTTTTTTTTTTTTTTTTTAATAATTTAGTCCTTTCCAATTTGGGTGCTTTGTGGAACTAGGCTTATATACCTTTCAGATATATCTATCAATTTTGGCTTGTTAAATGATTAAGATGGGCCCACCTATCATCTCCTTTGTCCCACAGTAACATGGACTCTGGAGTGAGAAAGATGAAAGTTTCAACAGGTTGTAAATTAGTCCTTTTACTCCAAGAAGCCTTTTGTGCCATGGAAACAAACCCGTCTCTTAAATTTTGTTTATTTGGTTAACTAGACTCTCAACTACACTCTGAGCAGACAAGGACATTTAGAAAAAGAACCTTGGAATGCATTCAGCCATCATAGCCCAGTCAATGTCTCCATGGATGGAATTCCCTGCATTCTTTTCTGGGCCAAAGGAATAACAGTAAAATTTAAGAATCAGACCTGGCTGGACCTTACAGATGAAGCTTTTGGCCAGACGGCAGCAGTGGACATTAGCAACTCAAATTGCAGTGAAGAAAGTGCCATGTAAGTTGATTGCTTTGCTGGAGGCCCTTAGGGCGATTGTAGTCTGTTAACTGGGCTGTCAAGTTTTCTGACGATTCAGAAAATGGTACAGGTAGGTTCGTTTGTAGTGAACTTGAAACACATCTCTTATGAAATGTCTAATGTCTAAAATAAAAGAAAAAAAAATTTCCCCCAGCAGTTCTCTTGTTACATACCTTGAGGAAAATCAGAGTTGTAAAAGTGAAGGTTTTCCAAATTCATTCTGAAAAATGAACAGGATTCCAGGCTTGGTATCAACTTCAAATGTGAGGTATCATACGACTTTTGTCCTGGCAGGAGGAAATCATGTATCATGGAGCAGAGTCATACATCTTCTAGTGGGTGAAAAAAGAGAAGGCTGACTCTAGCCAGGGCAGATTTCTGATTCGAGGGAGCGTTCTGAAGTTGTGGGACGTTGCCAGTTTGCATATGTGCAAGAGTAGCTTTGAATGGCCATATTTCAGGGAATTCTTTAGGACATTTGTTCAAAATGATTTAAATAATTCCTTTTGATTTGAGATAAGCAGATTAAACAAATATCCCTTTTGAAGAGGAAATCAATTTCCCGTACCTTTCTCTGCTTTCTAGTCATCCAAGCGAAAAGTTTTTGCTTGTATTTGTTTTGGTGGAGGAGGAATAAATCTGGCATATCCCACTTGCTTTCTATAAATCTCCTTGCTTTCAACATTTGCTGGTATAATGAAAGCTTTTGGAAGATTGTCTGCATTTGTCCTGGCCTGGTTTAGATGGACAGAATGCTTTGTATACTCTGTGCGTGTGTGCGCACGTGTGTGTGTGGGCGGGGGGGGGGTATTCATTTTATATATTTGGGCTGGAAATACTTTTTTACTCCTGAACTTTACTTTTCATTTAAAAATTATTGATGATGGGTAAAAGTGGATTTTATTAATATTACAAGTTTTAGTGAGTATCTTGCTATTCAGAATGATTATCTCTTATTAGGGAATTAAGGAATTGTAAGTATAAGCATCCAGAGTCCTCCCAGATTTGTTTATTCTGTGGCAGCACAGACTACCAAAGAGACTCCAGCACTGCTGAGAGCTTGGGACTTTTTTCTTGTGCTCTAATTAATTCCCTACAGGGCTCTTTATTTGTGGCCAGCTGCCTGGAGAGAGGCTGATTGCCTAGGGATCATCTTGCCTGTCTGTGGCTGACTGGCACACCTTGATTCCATTTATTCTTATCCCTGGGTATTTGTGGGGAAGATCAGAGCACCACACTTTTTTGCTGGGCTTTAGAAATCTTAATGATCACTGGGAACCCAGAGACAGAAAGAATGAAAACTTGGCTTCTTGTCCCAGTTCTGCCAGTGCAGTGCGCGTTGTGACTTTACAAATAGGAGCCGCCATAGGATCATCATCTAGGAATGGAGATGATGATATCTATTAATTGTAACAGGCCTGAAGCACTTGCCTTGGACCAGGCACAGTGCGAGGACTTGACAGGCACAATATCTGCTATTCCTCAGAGTACTGTTGAGTCACAGACTGTTACCATCCAAAATCAAGCCTCCTAGAGGTTAAGAAACTTGATAAGATCACACAGCTTATTGGATAATAGAGCTGGGGCCTAAAATGTCTTTAACAATGACATTTTACCTTCTCTTTCTTGGTCCTGTCTCATAGCACTGTGAAAATCAAACTGTGAAATGTATGCACGAGAACTTTGAGAACTCTTCAAGTGCTACTCGAAGTAGTAGTATTATCTTCCTAACATACTAACGATAACTAGAGTAAAATAGTGCCTATGCCTGGTTACCTGGTGGAGAGACCTAGGGAAGCTTTGGTTTTCACAATGCACAAAGGAATGATTTGGGGGGACCTGGCTTTCTTCTTGGTCACCACCTACATACTCTACTAGGATGAGTCTTGAGTGAGCAGCATCTACCTCCTGGAGTCCTGTTCAGGCGAGTGTGCGGACATCCTGGACAGCCCACCCATGGGGATGAATGGAAGGCTTCCCAGTACATGAGGCATGCAGGGACCAGATACTGAGACCAGCCCTCATTCCTGTGAATCATGCACATTAGTGAGATGCCTTTGCTGTGCTGGCAAGGAAATCTTAGGTTCTCAAGAACCGGAGAGGGAGTTGCTGAAAGAATAAACCCAAGTAAAGACATAACCATGTAAGGTCAAAAGCACAGATTAAAAAAAGGTGACCTTGTTTTAGTGCTTGGAAACAAAATGTTCAGGGAAAGGCAAGTTGTTGGCAGACAGATTTGCTATGGAAATCTTTTAAAATAGTGAATATAGAGCATAATCCAAGCTTCTGGGGGTATTTTGAACTTAGGCAATTACAGTCGGAAGAATTCAGAGTCTCTTTTAAACATGGGAGGTTAGGGTGCTTGAAAGAGTAAAAGCAGCTCTTTTTTGAGTGACTTGCTAGATTGTATTTCTCCTTCGTGTTCCCAGGTTATGGTGCAATGCTTGGCTCTTAGAAGAGTCTCACTGAATCGTTGTTGAATTTGCTTTGTTGAAATCAGGCATGTTCTTTACTCTGTAGCAGAGCATGTTAACAGCTCTCACTGAAGCCAAGACTGCTGGAGAAAGCTCTTGGAGTGTCAGAAGCTTAGAGGCCATTGACCTGCTCCATCAGGAAAAGGGGACAGCAGTTAGGTGGACTCGGTATGGCCTTGTTTTGAGGTTTAGTTAATCAGCTACAGAGTCATTTTATGGATAGCTAAGCTATTCTGATTCCTTGGAAGAAGTAGAGAAATTTCTGTTAAAACAAGTGACCAAACTTGTAAAATACTATTCAAGAAATAAATTTTATTTCTTTAAAGTATTTTAAGTGCTTTGTAATAGGCTATCAGAATAGTCTTAGAGAAAGGCCCTTTTGGAGACCTGCTTTACTGAATAAATTAGCTTATAAAGTGTTCATAAATGAATGCTTCTAAGGTGTCTAAGCTTAACAATGTTAGGAAAAAAAGATAATTCTCTTAGTAACTTTATGTGGTTTATTTTGTAAATACCCTTCCCCTTTCCCCATAAATAGTATGACAATAAATTTCAGCTCCATCACTGACATTTCTGTTTCTTGATAAGTAGGACTAAATAAATGAGATTACATTTGTGTGATGTTTTTTTCAAGCTTGTAATCGGACGTTTTATGGCTATCCACTTTTGCTTTTTTGGTTTTATAATGTATGTGGAGGTGTTATAACTTCTAGACATTATAATGTCACATAGCTGCATCATCCTTTCTGTATTTAAATTTTTCACATTTTCTCACTTCAGTTATTTAGCTTTTTTTCGTTCTTATTTTTCAGGCTTATTGAAATGTAAATAAAATACACTAAACTGCACATATTTAAAGTACACAGTTTGATCAGTTTTGACATATTTGTGCACCCACAAAACCATTACTACAATCAAAACAGCAAACATTTTCATCACCCTCCAAAGTTCCTTGTGCGCCTTTGTAATCTCTCCCTCCTGCCACTCCGAGCCCTCCAGGTAACCACTGACCTGCTCTCTATAGTTATAGGTGAGTTTGCATTTTCGCATAATCATATAGGCGCACCTGGGTGGCTCATTGGTTAAATGTCTGCTCTTAGTTTCGGCTCAGGTCATGATCTTGCAGTTGGGGAACTAAGCCCTGCTTGTGCTCAGTGCAGAGTCTGCTTCAGATTCTTTCTCCTTCTCCCTCTGCCCCTCCCTGCTCATACACACACTCTCTAAAATGTATAAATAAAATCTTTAATAAATAAGTAAATAAATATAGTCATAGGGTGTATACTCTTTTTTAGTCTGGCTTCTTTCACTTAGCTTGATGTTTTTGATATTCTTTGACATTGTTACAGGTTTCAAAGTGATGTTTCTTTTTAACTGCTGAGTAGTAAGTACTCCATTATATGGATATACCACAACTTATTTATCCATCCACCTCTTGATGGAAATTTGGTTTTGCTCCAGTTTTTAAATAACTTTCCAAGGAAAGTTGCTTTAAACATTCATGCACAAGGCTTCGTAGGAGTGTATATTTTCATTTTTCTTAAATACCTAGGAGTAGAATGGCTAGATCATATGGTATGTGCATGTTTAGCTTTTTAAGAAACCGCCAAATTGTTTTTTAAAGTCATTGTACCATTTACCTTTCCACCAGCATTGTATGAGGAGGTTCCAGGTGCTTTACATCCTTACTGACACTTGGTATTGTCAATGACTGTAAAGAAAATATTTTGTTTCTGCATAGTTAGCAATTTCTGAACAAATGTTCAAAAGGAATGAAATTTTTCCATTTGCAACGATGCGGTTGGAACTGGAGGGTATTATGCTGAGTGAAATAAGTCAATCAGAGAAAGACATGTATCATATGACCTCACTGATATGAGGAATTCTTAATCTCAGGAAACAAACTGAGGGTTGCTGGAGTGGTGGGGGGTGGGAGGGATGGGTGCCTGGGTGATAGACAGTGGAGAGGGTATGTGCTGTGGTGAGCACTGTGAATTGTGTAAGACTGTTGAATTACAGACCTGTACCTCTGAAACAAATAATACAGTATATGTTAAAAAAAAAAAAAGAAGAAGATAGCAGGAGGGGAAGAATGAAGGGGGGGAATCAGAGGGGGAGATGAACCATGAGAGACCATGGACTCTGAGAAACAAACTGAGGGTTCTAGAGGGGAGAGGGGTGGGGGGATGGGTTAACCTGGTGATGGGTATTAAAGAGGGCACGTTCTGCATGGAGCACTGGGTGTTATACGCAAACAATGAATCATGGAACACTACATCAAAAACTAATGATGTAATATATGGTGATTAACATAATAATAAAAGAAGATGTATATGCATGATATATATGTTTTCTGAAACAATATACAAGGCAATGTAAACTTGAAAATACATCTGAAAAACATAGCCTATAATTTGAAAAAAAAAAAAAAAGAAGTAATGAACCTCAGGACCATGGAAATATTCCAGTGCTTGGAAACCCACAGAGGCTACTTGTCTTCCTCTTAGAGACAATTATTTACATTCATCTTTATGGTGAGCTATTTATTCCCATCCAGAGGCTGATAAAACTCATCAGCTTACATTGTGAGGTAGGTACCTGGTACTCTTCTCTTTTCACGTGCCAAGGAAAATTTTTGACACTAAGGAAGCAAATGTTTCCCTCTCTTGGGGTTAAGGGGGACCTCTGTCTCTCTTTTATATAAACTCCCAGATTCACAATTTTGGTGTTCCTCACCTGTATTACAAATCCCAGTATGTACAGGATGACATCTGGCTCTCATCCTGTTGCCCAGGCAGAAGAATTGGGTTAAAAGGGGAACCAATGCGGTTATTGCTATAAATTAGTAATACTCTGTCTCACATCCAGGAAATCTCATGTTAACTTTCAGAAAAATGTGAATAAATATGGATATTAAGAGCTTAAGAGTAGGTTCTTTTTTTTTTTCACAATACTTTTTTTTTTTTAATTTGTGATCTATCTAAATTGGTGGTATTATCAGAGAAGTGTTAGGAATAATGTTTTATGAATGCTAAATCCTTATTTTACATTATGAGGAGTTCACAGATAATATCTGAAATTAATAAATCAAGAACAGAGCTTTATGATAATAATAGCCACAAATACCACAAAAAACATTTAAAAGAGCTGAAAATGGGGTACAACTATGAGTTGGGTGACTTGGGAACTGTTGTCTTATGGTTTTTTTTTTTTTGTTCTTATGTTAATCCCCATACATTACATCATTAATTTTAGATGAAGTGTTCCATGATTCATTGTTTGTGCATAACACCCAGTGCTCCATGCAGAATGTGCCCTCCTCAATACGCACCACCAGGCTAACCCATCCTCCCACCCCCCTCCCCTCTAGAACCCTGTTTGTTTTTCAGAGTCCATCGTCTCTCATGGTTCGTCTACCCCTCAGATTTCCCCCGTTTCATTCTTCCCCTCCCGCTACCTTCTTCAAGAGTAGGTTCTTTTTTTCCTGACCTCTGCTGACTGGTACTTGACTTATTCTATATAATGTAATGATTTACTTAACAGGTTTTTTTTTCAGATTTTATTTATTTATTTGACAGAGAGAGAGGCAGCGAGAGAGGGAACACAAGCAGGGGGAGTGGGAAAGGGAGAAGCAGGCTTCCTGCAGAGCAGGGAGCCCAATGTGGGGCTCTATTCCACGACCATGGGATCATGACCTAAGCCAAAGGCAGACGCTTAACAACTGAGCCACCCAGGCGCTCCTTAACACTGTCTTTTGAAGAGTAAAAATTTTGAATTTAATAAACTCCAGTATATCCATTTTTTCTTTATATTTCATACTTCTATATATTTTTAGTTTATTTTTTTTAATTAACATATAATGTATCATTGGTTTCAGAGGTAGAGGTCAGTGATTCATCAGTCTTATATAACACCCAGTGCTCATTACATTACATGCCCTCCTTAATGTCCGTCACCCAGTTACCCCATCCCTCCACCTCTGTCCCCTCCAGCAACCCTCAGTTTGTTTCCTATGATTAAGAGTCTATTATGGTTCTATATTTTTTCAAGAAACCATTGGCTAGTCCAAGATTGCAAAATTGCTCTATGTTTATTCTATAAGTTTTATTGTTTTAGTTTTTCCATTTTGAGGTGATTTTTTAGTATAGTGTGAAGTAGAGGTTATTTCTATTTTGATGGACTGTGTTGTTTCTGTTTTCTTAGTTTGTCTCTGAAGTTTGGTGATGCTGAAATTCCCAAAGGTCTTGATATAAGGTAGGTATGGATATTACTTTGGAGTGTTATAGGTTCAGCACTTCATATTGGCTCCATATAATTTACTCACTCAACATGTAGTATCGAGGACCCACTATGTGCCAAGCACTGTGACATGTGAAATGCCACATATAACGAACTATGCAAAGTTAGCAATATTATGGTGGGATCCGATAGTAATGATTTCTTTAGTTTCTACCAAAGCATCTGTATAGATTTTCCTTCTTCAGTTAGGACTTAGAAATTACATGAACCTGAAAATGTGATACTCTTTTCCTGTGAGCAAAAAATATATGTAAAGCTCCAAAGCTGAAGCTCTGGTTTGAAGTTATTTTCTATATCGTGCCTTTCAGTGAATCACACTTATCACTTTATAATAACAAAAAAACTCTCTGTTAGCTGAATTTCCCAGAAGATAACCCCGGCCTACATTTTGCTGTGTTAATGTGTGGAAGAATGCATCTGCCAACAGTGGTTTATTCAAGTAGTTAGGAACTGCTCCAGGAGTGGGGACAATGTCAAAGCATTATATTTTTTTTCTTATGAAAATAAAATGTTTCTGTTCCTATAGGACCAACCTTTTAGAGGAGATAAACAGCTGTGTCTTTAACATTACTTGAAAAAACCAGTAGGATGTGCTAGGACAGTCTTTCCTAAGCTGTGTTCATGGAACACTTCTGCTATGTAAAAATATTTATAAGATTCCCCAGGAAAGGGGTTCTGTGGTCAAATATGTTTGAGAAAGACTGCACACCGTGTCCTCCTCTTGGAGATTCACAGTATAAATTTGTATATTAAAGTGACTGTGAAGACATGCTTTTAAGGAAGATTGTAGCACTTGGTGACTTTGATTAACCTCTTTTCCTATGTTTACTTTAGAAAGCTCTTTCCTCAGAATATTTGACTACATATCATGGAACCACTAGTGTTTCACTGGTCATAATTTAGAAAATACATGTCATCATCTTTTAGATAAACTTTATAAGGAAAATAGAATCCCACAAGGTGAACAAGCGTACAAACACGAATATACATATCTGTTTGATAGGAGTAGTTTTTATTCAAATAGCACTTTTTTTTCCCCAAAAGGAAAATAGCTTTATGATTATTATTTTTTTCTTTCGACAAAGGAATGCGGCAGACACTGTCAGTACCCCATCTATGTCACTTTGGGCTTTTTCCATTTGAGAGCACTATACCAGCTCAACTTTGAACTGTCCGCCTTTCTTTGCCTAAAAGCTTCCTTTAGCCAAAGGGGTCCACTGCCTCCCATCCCTACCCAAGCAACTCTCAACCAATGACGGAAAGAAGTGTATAAATACCCCAGCTCCCTCACCCTCAGCCTCAGGTCAGATAACAAGCATGTGAACTACATTTGTTCCCAGTGGACCCCATGAGCATCAAACTGCACTTGCCCACAGTGGAAACTTGCTTAATAATGCATCCTTTTGGGGTGTCTTCCATTCCTCTGTCATTTTTCTTTTCTCCATTTGACATATTTTGAATTCCCAAATAAATTTGGGACTACCTCCCCAAGTACTTCTTCTCTTCACATCATTGTCTCAGGGTCTGCTTCTCCAGGAGTCCAGTACATGACAAGAAAACAAAATCAGGAAATATTTATCTATAAAAAGAACTTGAAAATCATTCGTAATTTAATCACCATTTGTAATCATTATTAACATTTGATCTTTGTTCTTCCAGAATTTTTTTTCTACGCAGTCACATGTTTGTTTGTTTGTTTTTTTAAAGATTTTATTTATTTGACAGAGAGAGACACAGTGAGAGAGGGAACACAAGCAGGGGGAGTGGGAGAGGGAGAAGCAGGCCTCCCGCAGAGCGAGGAGCCCGATGCGGGGCTCGATCCCAGGCCCCTGGGATCATGACCTGAGCCGAAGGCAGGCGCTTAACGACTGAGCCACCCAGGCGCCCCCATTTGTTTGTTTTTTAATGAAAAAGTGATCATGGCATATTATAACTTTTTTTTTCTCAAAGATTTTATTTATTTATTTGACAGAGAGAGACACAGTGAGAGAGGGAACACAAGCAGGGGGAGTAGGAGAGGGAGAAGCAGGCTTCCCGCTGAGCGGGGAGCCCGATGCGGGGCTCGATCCCAGGCCCCTAGGATCATGACCTGAGCCGAAGGCAGACGCTTAACGACTGAGCCACCCAGGCGCCCCTATTATAACTTTTTTATTGCTGGAGAATGTTCCATTCTAAAATGGCTGAGAGTAAAGGCTGTAGTCTCAAATTGGATTTGGAGCCCAGCTTCAATACTTAATCTCTGACTAAACTTGCACAAGCCATTTATTTAACCTCTCTGTGTCTTGATTCCTCGCCTGTGAAATGAGGATAGTAGTATCTTTCTCATGTTAAATAAAATACACATAAAGAACATAGAAGGGTGCTTGACACAGTAAAAGCTCTCTTTGGGTTACTTTTGACCATTATTTATTTAGCTAATTCTGTATTAGCTTAGCATTTAGTTTTTTTCAAAAACTTTTTTGCAATAATAAAATCAAGTTTTGATTTAAAAAATGAAATTAAAACAAGCTTTTTGTGTTTTTCTTTTTGAAGGAATTTGTACTGTCCACTTTTGGGGTCTGCCCTGTCCTTTGCTTTCATTCGAACCTCTCAGGAGACTCTGGTTCAGCACTAGAAGGAAACTCTCTCAGAGCCGGTTCTGCTACCTGACAAGAGAGGGCGCAGTTGCACTGCTTGTACATGACTTCCTGTGTCAGCAAATATCCAAGTGCTTTAGGAGTAATACTGTTTGTAATCATTTTCAGATTCACCCTTACCAATTACAACAAGCTGTACCTCCAGAGCTGGTTTAGTCTGCAGCGAGTCGAGATTATTTTCAATAATTCAATCCAAGCAACTTTTAATGCAACTGGCATCTATGCTCCGTCAAGTTATTCCTACCACTGCCAGCGTGTCAGCAGCCTGCAGCGGTATGATGCCCTCTTGTTGCCCAGCTACACGGATGACATGTCAAGCCTGTGGGAGGTCACTTTTGTTGATTTCCAGGTAATGAACTAAAACATATGCTCAGTGCACCTGTGTATTTGGTGCCAAAGAAACTCAGTGTTTGAAAACACCGGAAATACAGATGTTTCGGGAAAAGAGAGGAATGGTTACCTTTAAAATAATATTGGTATTTTTTTTCTTTATCTTCTAAGTCATGAAATGGAATAGGATAGAATATTTCCTCTCCCTGTGCACTACCCACACCCTACGCACCGCCCCCCGCCCCCCGACTTGCTTTTACAGTCACATTTCTGCAGTCACTAATAATTATCAATGAGGAATGCCAGCAATCTAAGCTTGAGTGAAGCTGTGGCATGAAGCCCAGTGACTGACAGTTCCTGGAATGAGAGGCCCTTCTGGGGAGAGGAACTGTTGGGAAATGATTTTATTTCCTTCAGGGAGTGGAGCAGTGATTCTATCAGGACAGATAAGAAGTACATCTGTAGCATGAGTGACAGCTTTGGCAGTTAGCACAGGAATGGAACTGTCAGCTATGGAGTCAAAAATACCCCAGAGATCCTCTTGAAAGTATTTGGGGAAAGGCATGGGGGCATTAGATGTTTCTTTTCACCACCAGAATCTCAGGCAGAAAGACATCTGTCAACTTCCTCTCTCCTGTTTACCTGTAAAGAAAGCTTCACTCGTTCTTCCAACTCATTGAAATAGACACGGTTTTGCATGTCCCTCTTATGGGCACTTTCCAATCTTTTCCAAATGTAAATGGATTTACTTCTTCTTCCCCCCAGCTTGGAGAGGTGTGCAGTTTGGGGTAGGGAAGGAGCTTGCACTTTGGAGTTTGAAAGAAAGACTTGGTTTCAAATTGCTTGTCAGCTACCTGGGCAAACTACTTCACCCTCTTGATTTCTGGCCTTTCTTCTATGAATGTAAAGAAGTCATGGCCTTATTATGTGGCAACAGCGAGGACTGTGTCAGGCGTGGATTAACAGTAACTACTACTTATGAGTCCCCCGCCCAGTGTGTCAGCACTGTTGTGGTTATTTTACATACTTTGTCTTCAAAACTTATAATGTTGCAAGATTGCTGTTGTTATCCCCGTTTTAAAAATGCAATGACTGAAGTTCTGATGATTACATAATTTTTCAAAGTGATATAACTCGTAAATGGTAGAAGCAGAATTTGAATTCTGCACTGACTTCAGAGGCACTTTATAATATATATATAATGTATATGTATTTATCAATATTTAAAAAGTACATATTATATATATTTCTCTCACTTGCACTTTAAAAAGAGAAGCAGGCACAAAGTAATAACAAAAACAAGGAATAATTCACACGTAATCTTGCCTAATGAGAACAGAGGAATTGACCGATTTATACCTCTTCCTTGTTTCAGAAATGATTTAGGGTGACTTAGAGAAACACTGTAAGAAAACTGACTTTGAAAAATGCACAAACCACACCCATTAGGATGGTTATTATAAGAAAACAAGCAAACCCAAAACAGAAAATAACAGATGTTGGCAAGGATGTGGAGAAATTAGAACCCTTGTACACTGGTTGTGGGAATTTAAAATGGTGTAGCCTCTGTGGAAAATGGTATGGTGGTAGGTCCTCAAAAAATTAAACATAGAATTACCATGTGATTCTGGGAATTGGAATTGGAAGCAGGGACTTGAACAGATACCTGTATACCCAGGTTCATAGCAGCATTATTGACAATAACCAAAAGATGAAAACAACCCAAATGTTCATCAATGGATGAATGAAAAAGGCTGGTGTATACATGCGATGGAATATTACTCAGCCTTGAAAAGGGAGGAAATTCAGATACAGGCAATGGCGTGAATGAACTTTGATACTATGCTAAGTGAAATGAACAAAAGGACAAATATTTGTATGAATTCACTCATATGAAGTATCTACAGTAGTCCGATTTGGAGAAGAGGGGGGACAGGAGGAATTAGTGTTTAATGGAGTTACAGTTTGCAAGATGAAAAGTTCTGGAGATGGATGATGGTGATGGTTGCACGATAATGTGAATGTACTTAATGCCACTGAACTGTACACCTAAAAATGGTTAAGATTGTAAATTTCATGTTATATATTTTTTATGATAAAAAGTATAAAACAAAAAAATGGGCAAAGACATGTGGCTTAAGAAAAACAAAGGAAGAACAGATCAGTTAGAGCCACTAGCGAGGCTGGTACACAAAACCATAAGACCGTCTGTCTGGTCTGGCTGGAAGTGGCACAGTGATTTCGCCCTGAAGCTTGGGAGCGTCCAGGATAAGAAAGAATCGCTCAGTTACATGTTCTTGGGGTTCAGAAGACTATTGGAAGTGTGCTTGTGGGGAGCACATCCATCGCTGGTCTGGTGCAGCATATGCTAACATCTGTGACAACAGCCTCACGGTGAACACGGCAGCGGATGTCATGGTGCGCCTCGTTAAAACACCGTTGAGGTAAGCACGTGGTGGAATGCAAGCTCAGTCCACGCAAGAGGTGGTGGTGATAGTGATTCAGGTGTGTATACAGAAGGCTGCATTCCACATAGGTGGCTTTGCCCATCTGATTTATTTTAAGAATAAAGTGTAGCGTGATGCCCCAAGCGTGGCAAAGTGAGACGCCCTTGGTTTGCCATCTGGATACCGGTAAAGTGTAGCAGCATCACAAAGAGTATGTTTATTCAGCTCCAGTTAATTTAATTTTTGCTTCTTAGGAAGCAAAAAGCATTCTTAGGATGCAGGCTCAGTGTTGCTGGCTCTTCAGTTTTTCAATGGAAGCTAGAAGTCTGGATTTTAATAGGAAATTCTCAGGATGTTCAGAACTCTGGGCCTAACAAAACTCACCTGTGGGCTAGATACAGTGTGTTTATAACCAGTAGTCCCGAAAATGGATGGACAAGATGTCCTTCAGGTATTCTCCACAGATACTGTTCTCAAGCAAGTCTTAAGAATTAAGTAACAGTCAATGTGAGGACATTGTCTTTGGCTGGAGTTGTGGCATCAAATGAGGCCATCTTTTGTCATTTTATCAAGAGCTTGACTCTTCAGGCCCTAGTTTGAAGAGAAGACCACTTTGCCTCTTCATGGAGGAGTGGGCCAAGGATCCAAGAAGCCAGGCCAAGAGTCTCCTTTCGGAGCTGTTTTGGATCAGTCTAGTGCACAGACAACTGGGTGGGCAAGGCATCTAAAGTCTATGGCTACAGGCATTTTAGCGTTAAAAAATGGCAAAGCACCCACTTAAGTCATAAAAATGAGTTCTCACTTAAAGCACTCATGGATAATTCAGTTTTCTGATGTACCCCTTTGAAACTAACTAGGTGACTGAGGTGATATTGTTTAGGATTCTGTTCTAAAAGCCAACTAAGTGTGGGAGCCGCCTTCTACAAATGATTGCTCTTATTTAGAGTAGTTACTCTGGGTCAGTCTTGATTTAAAATTGTTTCATTGTCCCCATAAGCACATTCACATTTGTTAGATCATGTGTTCAAATTAATCAGTAAGTACGGGCCCCAGTGTCTTAAATTTGGTTAACCAGGAGTCCAGAACCCTCCGCCCAACTAGAGGTAGACCTTAGGAGAGAAAGAGTATGTCACTTCAGCTCTTTGTCCTGACAGATCCAAGGCTTCACCATCAAGGCAAGGCAGTTTGCCAAGCCCCGAGACTGTGCCTCCTCCTTCTCACCAGCCATTCTGATTGGCCTGGCCATGTCCCTGATCCTGCTGCTGGTGTTGGCCTACGCTCTGCACGTGCTCATCTACCTGCGGTATCTGGAGCGGCACTATGATTTCATCACCTCTCCGGCCCACTTCCCCCAGTTGAAAGCTCGAGATGCAGCAGAAGAGAAGGAGCTGCTGAGGAGCCAGGGAGTCGAGTGCTATGAACTGAGAAGCCAACAGATCTGCAAAATTTATGTGTAATAGCGCAGGCCCCTCTTCCTCACAAAGTCCACAGTGGGCTCTGAAAGGAGTTATTTCTGTCTGTCCTCTTTGACTTGTGATATAAAATGTTCACCTCATGGCTTGATTAAAAAAAATACATGCAAAAAATACATTTTGGAGCATCCGCTGGCCTACGTAGAGAGATTTGAGGCAATGAAAAAGTCCCAGGAACCCCACAGAGATAAATACGATTGTTGCCCTAAAACTACTTGGAAGTTAGGAAGACAGAAAAAAACATTGATGCCATTAAGAGAGGGGAAAACATACTTGGTCCTCGTTGCTTGTGCCAGTTCAGATGTGATAATATAGAAATAGTAATTCCAAGGTTATCTGGAAGTTCAGAATTTAAAGTATTTTGTAAGTTTGCATTTTTAGAAATTATATCCCGGTTTTGTTTTAAAAAAAGTAGTCTTCTCTTTCCCGGAGCTGTTTAGGGAAGACTCTTGTCAGTATGGTAGAACACTTTATTCAAGGGCTTTCTTGTCATTTACTTTGCTGTTCAGAGGCCCCCAGTTCAGTTTGTGAAAGAGGGTAACAGTCTTGTAGTTTCTTACCTTTTCCATCTGGTTGTGGTGCCAAGGCTTGTTTCATTGGTCTGATTAGACATCCATTAACTCTCCTACGTGCTACTTGAAATAAGCAACTGAGCTAAGAACAGTGTGCTTGCTATGCAAACACAGCTTCACGGCAAATCTCCTAAACCCCCTTCCAGTGAGATTGTGTCCCTTAAACTCTTCTTTAATAGAAATTCTGCAGCCACCACTGCTCTTCTTACATATGGATTTCTGCATAGTCTTTCCCAGTTCTTGACAGATACTGAAGATTGGCTTCCCCTGAATTTTCACCAGAGCTTCTCTAATATGCCTTGTGTGTTAAAGAGAGCTTATGTGTAAAAAGTACATTGTATTTCCCTAAGTAGGTTTCCACACATGAACTAGGGTTCCGTACATGACCTGCACAAAACTTAGAAAGCAGAGGGGAACAATGTGGGGTAGAGGATCATGCATAGAGAAATTGAATCTCTTGGACAGCTGTGGTAATAAGTTTATAGTCTAGTACCATCTTTGATGCCAAGTGTGAATGACAATGATTTGGGTTTCTGATAAAATAGTCTTACGTTGGACATTTCTTTTGGCTGCATTACTCTTGGCTGTGAATATAGGTTTGGCTCCAGCCCTCTCAGAATTCTGTAACCTCTTAATACTCTATAGTGAATTTGTTGTTGTTTTTTTTAATACCTGGAGTGGATTCTGTATTCTGTAACTAAGAATCTTGATTCATGTACCTATTTGTACCAAAGGTGGTTATAGGGAACACACCCTGAAGAATATGGGAATCTAGTATTGATTTTTTGGCCCTGTTTAGCCTAAAACCAAGGAGGACTCTTAGCATTAGAGAATGGGAAACAGATAGTTCACATCATTCCATAATGAAATTTTCATTGTGGTTGTTTTGAGTATCCATTGGTGGTATCAATGGTAGTTGTGGTAGGCTATAGGTACTTGAAGGATAAACATAACTTACGGTCCAACTGGGACACTTTTGAAAGTGAAAACGTCATTAACAATTCCAAGATAACAGACATAAGCAGAATGGTGCCAAACTGGGATATGTAGTCACCCTAGATATGGTAAGACCATACAGGTATGGTGATTGCCCTACAGGGTGAGACCCTGTAAGGTGAGGTAAACTGGCTCTTTCTAACTGTGCTGGAGGGCTTACAGAAAGAAAATAATAGCTTAAGATTTAAAATTCACAGTTCAAGTCATGGTAAAAAACAAAACAAAACCAAAACAAAAACCCAGGGAGTTTCTATGACTGATCTACAGCTCTTATCAAGGGGCTGACATAGTTGCAAATCAGACACACAGGTCTGATCCTGTAAATTGGTAAAATGTGTTGTAGGTGGAATTCACAGCCTTGCCAGATCTCTTAATGAATATGAGGGCACTGATTTTTACAAAAGAGAAGAAACTTGAAATAAGAATGGTAACTTGGGGATAATTAGACAACTTTAAGGATATTGAACCCATAAACTCCACTAAGTTTTTCTTGCTAGCAGAAGCAACCCTGTCAGGTGAAGCTATTCTGACTTCACCAAAGATAGTTACCTTGCCAGGGGGTGCCGATTTTCCTCAATGTCTCTAGACAATTGGAATCACACTCTAGCATATCCCAGGGAACCAATTGCAAAGTCAAATATGGGAGAATAAAAATTGGAAGGTTTTGCTAATTTATGCAACAAAAGATGGAGGAATATGTGGGAGAATGGATTCTGGAGGTGCTAGCTCAGAGAGGGAAGTGTATAATTTTAGATTGGGCTGAATTTTTTGAATAGGTTCTCTTACCAGATTTTGGGTTAAATATTCTGGTTTGAGCAGCTGGCAGTATTTCTAACCATTTACTCAGTTGATTAAGTTGTGGCCTCAAGAGTGACATGCCCTAAATGAAATAGACCAGAAATTCATTGGTATAATATAGAGGAAGAAAATAAATTTAACAACTTAGAGAATTGAGATATAGGAATGGATTTATTATGCATGTCCTGCTCTCCATCCCCAAAACTATTTTCCTCTGTGAAGGCCCCAGAGGACACTTATTGTCATAGCACTGAGCTGAAAAATACATTGGGAACATAGCATCAGCATTTTTGAAAAGTGCTCTAGTTGCTGTCCTCTGTAGGCTATGGATGAAGGCAGGAGATGCTATCCTTGATTCCTTAATCTCAGTGGGAATGCCGGGATCCTGGAGATAGCATCACAGTGTTAAGGGGCTGTAGGGCAGGAATGTTAATCAGATTAGATCATGTTTGTTAATGGTAAAGTAATCTATGACAGATGTATCAGGGCAGTCCACTAAAGAACTCGCATTCATCTGAATAATTGTAATCTTAATAAAATCTAGTCCTTGTATAAAAAGACCTTGTTTGAACCATCATGGTGGATTCCCAGAGCTGAGTCTGTTGATAACTCAACAAGAGAGCTCTCGACTGAAGAGGAGACCTCCTAAAAAAGGGTCTTTGGTCTTCATATTTAATGTTGAGCATTATCATGAATGATTTTATGCTTATCCATTAGGTATCTTTCTTTTTTGTATCACTTCTGGTATGTTCTGATCTTCAGGTAAAGAACTTAATCCTAGTCCCATGGATACCTTTATTATTAACCCAACAGGTATGTGATTATAGCCCTATAATTGTTAGTGCTTCAGGAGCATAGCCTAAGAGATGTCTGTCTTCCTGGGAGGTCTGGAACAATATGGCAATGAAAGTGATATTTGATATGAATAGAAGTTGACTGGGCAGGTAATATGGAGAAGGACAGATATGGCAGAAGGAAACACATATGGAAAGACTGGACTTTACCATGTGAGGAGAACTATGAATACATGTCTATGGGCAGTCACATATAATGTATTTAAAGGAGTAAAAGATTAACCTGGAAATAATTGAGGGAACAGGTCATTGTACTCAACTAAAGACTTAGAATCTTGACTTGAGGTAATGGAGACATTCCTGAGGAGATTTTGGAGGATTTTAAGAAAGGGGATTGCATAGCAGATAAGTGTGAGTAGAATAGGGACAGATACTCCATTTAGGAGATTATTGGAATAGTTCAGATGAAAAATAATAGGACGTAAACTTAGAGAGTGGGGTGAGAGGAAAGAGCAAGAAGAGGTATTGAGGAGGTTGGTTCAATAAATTTTGGGAACCAACTGGCAAGTCACAAATGTCTGTTAGGTATCTTATTTGGGGTGCTGGGTGGATGGTGATACCAATTTCTGCAATCAGGAATAGGAGAGGGTAGGAGTTTGAGATGGGAGATGCCTATAGGCAGATCCTATAATGGAGATCCAAGTAGACAGTTTGGTTTATGGATCTGGGGCAGAATAAAGAGATCTGGACTAGAAATTTGGAAATGTTACAGATGCTGTCAGTGTCCTACCCATATTTCTTTGCCCTTACTGCATCCTGACCCATCTCTCCGTTGCCAGTTACTGCCCTCTAAGGCTGCTCTCCTTGTGTTCATGGCAAGCTGAAGATTTAATGCCTCCCAGGAGTAGCCTTCATGCAGCAACTCTCAGGAGTTGTGAATAAATACCCCAACTCATTTGTCCCTTGACTAGAATATTTCTAGAGTGTGTTGTACATCATTTCCTGGAGCTCCCCAGCAGGACTTAGCTCTTTTGCCCATTGTGGTATCTTGCTTGATAAAGTTCACTTTATTAACTCCCTTCTCTTTCTTGTCTTCCTTGCTCCCCTAATGATGTTTCCTAATGATGTTGGCATTACCTCCAAAATAAACTACTTGTGTTTAAATCCTAGTCTCAGGATCTGCTTCTCAGGAAATGAAAACTAAGACAAGCAGTGATGGGCATGGAGGCAAAGTTGACTAATTGACTGCATTTGAAAAATAGCTAAAATAAGCTTTTACAAAAACACAGAATTATTAGAATATAATGCCCAGGAACCCTTCCAGGGCCCTGGAAGAGAGCTACATAAGTGAATGTGTGTGTGTGTGTGTGTGTGTGTGTGTTTACAGAGCTTTGATCTTACACACAATGGTGGACACAGGTTAAATAGTTTCTGTGAGCTTGTTATCTTCATCTTTGATGCTAAAACTTGAAGTTTAGCGTAGCAGGCAATTGGGAAGGGAAAATGGATGTAAGGTATTGGAGAGCAAGGACAAGCTAGAATCCAAAAAGAGCTGGGACTGTAAGAATGAACTGGGGCCTGTGTCAGTGTTCACTGCCTCCACCTTTGTTACTGTAGTGCCCTTTGTTTAAAATGGCCCAGAGCTGAATGAATGGCTCAGGGATTGAAGATGTTGAAGAAAGATCCAGGAGAAGGTGGAGCATCTGCCAGCCTGGGTGCTGCCCTCTGCCAACAAGGTGAGCCAGCAGATAAATGATAATTTGCTTGAGCTACAAATGTACCTTGACTCCACCATGTGAAGGTTAAAAAAACGATACAGCTCCTTCTTCACTTCCACCTTCTAAATCTCATGCAAATAGGTCTCTCTAATATGGCTTATCTTAACCAGAAACATACAGGGAAATTAATTCTGGGAAACATAGTTCAACTTACCTGTATTTTCCTTCCAGGCAAAATGAATAGCCAGCTACATTGCTCAAAGTCCTGTCCATGGGGAGGATTGCCCTTTACCACTGTCCATCAAGGCCAACCCGGCATGGGGCTGTAGTGTGATAGCTGCCCAATTTCAGGTTGTGCCTTGTATATATTAAGTAGAACCATCTGTAAACCAAGCCCAAGTTTTTTCTTCCTTAGGAACTGCTCACAAAGGACTGCCCATTAGGCCATAGGTATAGATTGAAGGAGAGAAGGCAGTTAGTTAGGAGTGGAAGGCATGGACATCTAGGCTACTTCCTCATGCAATTGACTTGTGCCTCCAAGACTTGCTTGAGCCTGCTTTCTATATAGAACTTTTATTTGAGCCTGGAGTGCTGCTACTGTGCATGCCTAACTTTGTGGGCTTGGTGAGTCAGACAGTACTTCATGATGGGCACCTCAGGTCACATGGTAACTTGGTAGCCCATGATCAGATGTTCTATCTCTACTAAGGTCAAGTAGAAAGTCAAAAAACCAAAAGCTGTTTCTGAAAAGGAGAGTAGTTACCTTCATAGGATGGCATGGCTCTGTTGCAAAATTCTAAGGGTCCTTATTGTGACTCACTAATAGGGCCCGGCTGCAGGCTCCATACAACATCCGTCTCCACCACTGACACTTTAAGTTGACTCTTTATGCACAACCTCACAACATTGCAGCTTTTGCAATATCCTTCCCCTAGAACTAAATATAATCCCTAAACTCTTGATGTGTGAATGTTTGATATGGACCCTGTGGTAAGAAGAATAATGCTTCTCACCCAGGGTTGTCCAAATCCTAACTCCTACACCCGTGGATATGTTAGCTTTCATAGCAAGAGGCTTTGCAGATGTGATTAAGTTAAGGGTTTTGGGATGGGGAGATTATCCTGTTTTACCCAGGTGGACTCAATGTAAACATAAAAGTTTTATTTTTTTTTTTAAAGATTATTTATTAGAGAGAGAGTGCAAGTGAGGGGAGGGCCAGAAGGAGAGGGAGAAGGAGAGGACTCACTGCTGAGTGCAGAGCCCTACGTGGAGCTCAATCCCATGATCCTGAGATCACGACCTGAGCTAAAATCAAGAGTCAGATGTTAACTGGCTGAGCCACCCAGGTGCCCCCATAAAAATTCTTTTAAGAGAAAAAGGGAGAGAGGAGAGAGAGAGGAGAAGGAGATGGATGTGACAACAGAAGTAGAGGTTGGAGTAATACAAGGAAGGAGCCATGAACCAAGAATGTAGGTGGCCTCTAGTAGTTGGAAAATGCAAGGAAACAAATTCTCCCCTAGAGCCTCCAGAAGAAATGCAACTCTGCTGAAACCTTGATTTTAGGACTGTTGACCTCCAGAACTATAAGATAACAAATTTGGATTGTTCAAAGCCACTGAGTTGGTGGCAGTATGTCACAATGGCAATAGGAAACTCTGATGTGAAACTGGACCCAAGAGGACATGAAGTGTCTGGGCAGAGTCCTCTCCCTCCCCGTGCATTCCTCCTCCCCTCCCCAGTTTCCATCATTCGCCACAAGACTGGCTCCCAGCAAACTTACAAAGGATGCAAGTGGGTCCTCATTGCAAGACTTTCCTTCTACCCCTTCTTCTGTGCCCTGTGACCTTATGTAAACCCCTGGCTACTTGAGGGCCCTACTAAGTGGCCCCTCTGTCCCATCAATTTTTTTCAGCAAGCTTCCTTTTTTATTTTTTGCTTAGGATTTGAACTCTAGTGGAAAAATGATAAGCTGTTAATGAAGCAGTGACTTACATTTTCAGATATATTTGAAATACATTTATATTTTCATAGAGTTTTTTTGCAGACTGTCTTACCCACATAAAAAATTACTGGTAGAAATTTCAGTATTGTGGCAGCTAATCCTAGAAATTTTGGAGCCTCTCAAATTACATCGGGTAAATGCCAGTCTATGTGCAGGGCATTTTCTGACTCCTTATTGCTTATCCCTGATGTCCATCAATGCATGTTTCCTCTTGTTGGGTTTGGCAAATCATAAAATCTTCAAAGGTTTACGCCGTTCAAATACAAACTTGTATTAGGGATATGATTTTGAATCCAGCACCCGCTGAAATAACTAAGTTCTCTTGTCTAATTGTTTTACTCTGAAGGTCTGTAGATGTGACAGTGACACATTTTCTGCTGCTCCTTCCTCTGTATCAGAGCAGTGTTGCTGGTCTCCTCAGGACTGGAGAGCCGAGGTAAGTAGTTTGTGTTAGTGGCTCTAGTAGGACTGTGAGTCCGTGCAGGAATGGGAGAGGTACTTACGGAAGATGCACTTCCATCTTTCTAGCCAAGGGATTTTAGTTAAAATAGCACACAGAAGAGATACTTTTTTTGTACTTCGATTTATTTACTCCAGTTTTATTGAGATATAATTGACACATAACATTTCATGAGTTTATTTTTTTTTAAGATTTTATTTGTCAGAGAGAGAGAGAAAAAAAACACAAGCAGGGAGAGCAGCAGGCAGAGGGAGAAGCAGATTCCCTGCTGAGCAGGGAGCCCAATGCGGGACTCGATCTCAGGACCCTGGGGTCATGATCTGAGCTGAAGGAAGATGCTTAACTGACTGAGCCACCCAGGCACCCCATCATTTCATGAGTTTAAAGTATACAATGTGTTGATTTGATACTCTTTCATACTACAAAATGATTACCACCATAGTATTAGCTGACACCTCCATCATGTCACATAATTACCATTTTTTGTGTGGTGAGAACAAATAAAATGCAATCACTTAGGAACTTTCAAGTATATAACACAGTATTATTAGCTGT